GAGCATGGTAAGAAATGAGCGTCCCATCAGGAACAGGGCAGTTCGCTCCAATCACGATGAGCCTGCTAATACCGAGTGAACCACGGAGGCGCCATCCTCTATCACGGCATCGTCCCAAATATAACTGTTCTCGATCTTGACGTTCTTCCCAATTTTGCATCGCCTCCCGATAGTGCTCCCCCGAGAATGGCGCTTTCCAGTTTTAGATTGTTGTCCCCTGTCCAAACTGCCGACTGTGTTACTTTGGCGCCCCTCTCCGCCACTACGTGGTCCTCGACAATAACTGCCGCCTTTTACTCTCCTGTATGTTTGCCCGTGGAGGAGATTGCTATCCGGAACAAACGGTAGTGTCCACCGCTCAAGTACATCCCGGCTGATACAATCGTACATTTGAAGGTTGGTCGCGCGCGCTGCATATCCGTCATCTAGGATTTCGGCGTAGAGCATCTTTCCGTTGAGCTCCCAGTCCTATAGCACGCCGTGAAGAAAGTTTTTCCTTGGTAGCTCGTAGTCGAAGCTCTCTGACCATAACGCCAATACGTCCGGGGTGCAGATATCGATACCGCAGTCGACAAGGTCGGTCCGAATCTCGAACTGGCCATGGGAGAATACGGCGGGATCCAGGTTGAGATAGTGCTCGCTCTGAAGCGGATGTGTCTCCTCGTACTGCAAGCACCGCCCCGTTGTCGGATCAACGATGAATACAGGTGTGATACCCCTCGCCTTTGCTGCCCGGTGGGGTTGCTCCCCAACGGAGCGCAATACCACGGTCATGCAGGCATCGCGGTTTGCTTCTCTCCTCGCGCGGTGCTTCGCTAGGGCGGTATCCAACTGGATATTCGATACCACATCGCCATGGACAAGGATGAAGTCACCTCCGATTATGCTCCGCTTGTCCAAATCGCGTAGGAAGTCGCCGATCGAATTCGCATCCGAAACACGGATGAACTCCAGAGAGGAGAAGGGTGAGATGACGCTCCCGGGGCTCCACCGTGTAGACTCGTTGATGTAGTTTTCGATGCTCTCTGAGTGGGTGCCGCAGTAGATGAAGACCTCTTGAACGCCGTTGGAGGCTAGAAACTCGAGAGTGTATTCAATCACTGGGACATTAACCAGTGGTAGGAGGCACTAGGATTTATGGGTTAGCTTTGCTATGAAACAGGAAAAGAAAGCCCGAGCCGGCTGAAGTCATACCCTTGGAGTCTCCAATGTGAACGGCTTGAACCTGTCCTGGAACGAGTCGGCCAGGATGACGGCCTGGAGTACATCCTCCCTCTTCTCGTCGGTGCCGGCCTTGGCGGGCTTCTTCGCCTTGCCCGCGGCAGCCCCGCCCTTGCCTCCTTGCTTGGACATTGGTTGCTCCCGGGATTCAATTCTTTGCCGAAAGTTTGCGTTGAAGGACAGAGCCGGATACTATTCTCGGTTTCAATTACAGAGTTTTGAGTGGCTGTTCTGGACAATCGAACCGGCAGTCACCTATGAGTCAAAGGCCGCCCAATTCGAGCTCCAAAAGTTCAATGGTGGGGTGCGGGGTTGGTCTGTGGCTGCAAGGCTGAAGGACAAGGCGCAAAGCACAGGCGGCAGCGACCAATGATGATGCCACGTCAGGGTTAGGGGAGCATGACCCTTTTCAACCCATATTTGTTCACGCACGTTGTCGTGGGAGGTAATATTGATCGTCAACATACTATGCATTATGTACTTATATGGCACGTACGAAAAAGAAAAAAAATACAGTTTAGGTTCAGTTTCAAAACCTGTATTTTAACTTTTTTTTTTCTTCCTGTCAACACCGAGTGCTCGTGTGGATCTGGGGTTTTACACAGCTTTGTTGAATCCGACAACCTCGCGAGAAGGCGCTAAGCCCACTTCGTACCATCCCACCCCACACTCACTACTCGGTAGGGAGTTAGCAGGAACGATTCTTCTTCGAAATGCCTTCATCACATATGTCCCTGTACTTGTGAAGCCTCGAAAGGTTTCCCATGATGGAATTGTTACAAACCGACTCGGTGCGACCGCGACAGCCAAAGCCCTGGGCCCACGTACCCACAGGATGCTGGGGACGCGCTGCCAACGCAGTCGAAACCTGCCAATCAAGGTTTTGGCAACGAGCATGCAGCTTGCCGTTCTGGACGAGCCGAAACCTAAGGTCCGAGATTGCGGCGCCCTGAAAGGCCCGGCCAGACCATTCCTCAGCATGAAAATCAACACACCACTTTTTTTCACCTTCCCAATGCGTCCGTCCCCAAGTCCAAAACTGGGGGGAATGAGAACCAACAAGCCAACTGTCGACAGAAGTGTGTGCTTTGGGTCGGATGACCTCATCGTCCACCTTAAACTTTACCGTGCAGGAGACATCAGAAGCGAAATGTGCACGTGGGCAAAAGAGGGATGTTTGTCAAGAAGGGGAATAACCAAATAACTTGGCGGTGTTTCTATAGCTATCGGCTTTTGTTCTCGTTGTGGCCCCGGTTCCGGTCTAAGACAGTCTCCCACTGCCTGTCTTTCTGCGCTGCCAGACAGCCAATACATCCATGATCCATGGATGGGACTGCAGACCTGCAGCAAGCAGAGGACGACGAGTGTCGCACCGTTTCACATGGATTTCGTTGTGATGACCATCGAACCATTCCTTCGAGACGATCATGGCCTTTGCGGCCACTTGATTTTTAGAGACCCTGTTGTTCAACTGCAACGGCGCGGCGGCCCAGCCCGGCCCAGCCCCAGCGCCGAGCGTCCAGAACGAGCCAGGCCCCATGAAAATGGGGGAAACCTGCATGATTACCGGCCGAGCTTACGTAGCGCCGTAACACGGCGGGAGCTTGAATTCCGTGCAGCACGCAGTTTTGGCGTTTCGTGACAAGCATCTCCGGAACATGACGGACAGGGACAGGGCTGATACGACGTGTATGCGCTCAAGGGGGAGAAGAAGAAGAAGAAGAAACGGAGAAGAAAAACAACACTCCCCTGTTTTTCCCAGAGAAAAGGTCCCTGTCTCCCGATTAGGAACACACACAGCCGTCATCCCTCATGCCGCCCACCAGTGACTCTCGCTTGCCTCACGAGATCGCAAGACTAAAGCAGCCACTAGCCGAACGAGCCAACGGCAGCGCAGAGTGGGCTACGAGCGCGAGCCGGCGAGAAACAACGCTCCGCTGTCAATTGCTACCGAGCCAACTACAGATCTGTACACACGGCGCTAGGTAGGGCTGGACCACTCCAGACCTCCAGTCCAGCCACGCTAAAGCAGCAGCCCCCATCGTCCAGCTCTAGGAAGTTCCCGCCCAGCAGGCGAACGGACCAGTCCGGGAGCCGGCACTATGGACGCTTGGTTTCAGAGAGGGCATATAAATAACAACCCGCTGCCTCCCCCCCTCTCTCTCCCTTCCGCGCGCGCGCCAACCGGCGGGAAAGCTTATCGTGGTTGCTTGCCCCGGGCGCAGTTTTGCCTGTAGTTAACTCTGTACATAAGGACGGACTTCCTTCCCGCCCAGACCTTCAGCTTCCCTTCCTACCGGGCGCACACCCACCACCCAAACCGGAGAGATCTGTCTGTTCTGGACCCCGGGCCCTGTTTCACCTTGCAACCACGAGCCTGTCCATCCCATGTCGGTGTTCCCGCTCTTCCCGCACTCGCGGTTGGTGACTGGGGGGTCGGGGTCGGGGTCGTGTGTGTTGGGTAGGGATGGTCAGGGTAAGGTGTGAGTGAGTGGACCGGGCTGGTGCCGATGGGATTCATACATATCCCCATCCGTGCCCGCCCGCCCTTTTTCTATTTGTTTGTTTTTCCTTCCTTTTCTCCCTGCTTGGCCCGGGATGTCCTCCTTCTTCTTTTCCTGCTCAAGGCTCGGCCACTGCCATAACGACAACCAGGCTATGCCTCCCTTCCTATCTCATCGCACTTGCGCACTTGTCGGCCAGGCACCACTGCAAGCATGAGCGTCGCCAGTCCTTCGGCCAACTACCCAGCCATTCCTCGCTCAAAGACCTCTCACACACTTACACCCCCCTCCACCCCCCCACCCAACCCGCCTCAAACCATGTGGTTACAGAAGGGGAGGTTCACGAAGAGCGCCGATGGTCCACTCCCGACCGACACCAACCAACACGCCGGCAGTCAGCCACCGCGAGGAAGCCACTTACGCACCTCGCCAGTCTCGACTCAGAGATCTTTCGAACTCTGAGCACACTCAGCCTCAGACCGCGTTCCCAAAAATGACAGCCGACCAAGACAACCCCGACGAAGACAACGGGGAGATCACACACCAGCGGCGGGCTCACGACAGAAATACCTAACCAACGCCTTCCATTACTCCTGTGGCCGGCACTAAACTACTGATCATACAGAGCCCCCAGGTCGACCCAGACCCGTTTCATCCCAAAACACTTGTTGGCCAGATCCCGATCCAACGCGTGCGCGCCATAGCATGCTATACGATACGCTTCGACGATATACCCAACGCCGAACCAAGCCGAACCAAAATGTCACCTCGCACCTCGTGGGTGCGGACTTACCCCTTTCATCCCCCCACCGCGCCAACCCCGACCCTTATTCGATTTGATGCGAGCTGCAAGCCCCCCCCCCCTCTGATACTAGAACCAAAAAAAAACTTTACCCAAAATTCGATGCAAAGGCCGGCTTCGAAGACCAGATTCGTCCCGACCCCCTTTTCACCGACCGATCGTCGGAAACTCACCAGCATCTTGCTACTTCACCCCCGTCCTCAGTGTCGACCAACTCCCGGACGCAACACTGAATACTCTACTAAGGGACGGACGGGGCAAACAACCACCGCTCACTTCTCGCTCAATGCATGCATGCATTATTGTTGCCCATATCCACCACCGGCGCCTTGCCCCGCCACGGGCCCGTATAGCCGCTGCCTCTTCTCGGGCCGTTCCTCAGTGGCGCTACCGGCGACCTGCATGCCCGCCATGCGCGCGTTCTCCGCCATTCCACGCATGGCTTGGGCCTGGGCCTGGGCATGAGCTGCCTGCGCCGCTTGGGCTTGTGCTGTCTGCACCACCTGCGCCTGTGCCGCCTGGGCTGCTTGCGGGCCAGCGACTTGCTGTGGCATTATGTACCCGGGATAACCACCCTGCTGGTGAGGGAGCTGGTGGTGCGGGTGATGCTGTGTTTGGGAGGGTGGACGCTGTGAGCCGCCCGGGGTGAGCACCATACCGCCGGGTCCGCTGCCGACGGCGTTCATGTAGCCGCCGGGGGTGCCGTCAAGGTTCGGTGCGTTCTGGTGCATCTGGCTCGGGGAGTGCCAGGACGAGACGGTGGATGGCGATTGGAGAGGAGTATTTTCAAATTTGACCTGGGGCATCCCCCCCATCGCGGCGGGGCCGAAGCCGCCCTGGTGGGGAGGGCCGTGTCCACCGGCGACGGTTTGGCTGAGGTCATCGCCACCGACGACGCCACCGGCGGATTGCGGGTCTTTGAGCATGCTAGGAAGATGCTTTCGGAGAATGCGAGCCATGCCCTCGCGGGTGAACGGTTTGGCTAGAACGTCGTTCATACCTGTGGGGTTGTTAGTTGGTGATCGGAAAAGGTGAGTTGTCCGTTGAGGGTGTAGGACTGACCGAACTGGAAGTACGTCGCGATGTCTTCCTGCCGGATATTCGACGTCATGGCCACCATGGGAACCTGCGGCACGACCATCCGAATCATGGCCGTGGCCGACACGCCGTCCATCCGGGGCATGATAATGTCCATAAAGATCAAGTCAAAGCGCTCCGCGCTCTGGTTGACGCTCTGGATAGCGGAAAGACCATCGCCCTGAGAGACGTGTTAGCCGTGTCCTGCTGTGAAATTATCTCCTATTACTTACGGCAGTGTCGACGGTACAGCCCATACTGGTTAGAAACTTGGACCCTATCCTTGCACACGTTTTATCATCCTCGACGAGTAGAATATGCGGCTTCTTGCCGTGCCACATGTTCTCCTTGAGCGGCGGGGTGGTTTGTGACGGAGCCTCCACCTGCATGTTGGGGTTGCTGAGGGGTCGGCTGTATGGAATATTATTGATGTGATCCGCATGAAAGGGATCGATGCCCGTCGTCTGTCCCACCGGGTACACCATGTGCCGAGGGTCGTTTAAGGGATCGACCATCGGGATACCTGGGCCAGGGGGACCGAACATGACAGAGGAGCCAGCCGAATCGGCCGGCGATCCGTTTTGGTTGTATGTCATAGACAGCCTCTCGAGCTCTTTGTCCGCTTGGACGTCCGGGGACACGCCGTTGAGAATTTCCCTGGCTCGCCGCAACTCGGGTGCCGGCTCGTCCGCCCCATCCGGCAAGAAACTCATCGCCCCTGCATGGAAGTTCTGACCTGCCTGGCCCGAGTGGCTAGACTGGGCCGAATGCCGGCTGTTCCGTCGGCGGTCCTCCACGTTGTTCAGATGCGTGATCAGCTCGTTCGATGCCTGGCTCTGGGCCCTAACCATCTTTTGCAAACTCAACACCTCGCTAACAAGCAGCCTATTTGTCTTTTCGAGTTCAAAGTACTGTTCTTGTAGCGCCTGTATCTGATGTTGGGTTGCCGTGAGCGACTCGCTCAAGACGACGATCTGCTGCGATGCTGGGAATGCATCATCGGCCGATGGGGCTTTCCTTTGGGCCGGTGCCTTCCTCCGAATGTTATCCAGATTGTCCTTCCCGTCGGCCCTGAATTCAGGATGCCGGAACTCCCATGCCTTTTCATCCCAACCGTTAGCACACACAAGCCTCTTGTCCAAGGACCGCCGAGGTAACCTACATCCCGCCCGTAGGGCGGTTCGCCGCTCTCCTCGTTATGCCTGACTTTATGGAAGTCATACTTGTTTAATTGGCGGACGAAGCTTGCGAAGTTGCTGTGTTTAAAGTGTTTCGGGAGGATGGTCTTGGTAAATTTTTCGTTCTGCCACCGATGATTAGTTATGAGCGCGCTCCCACAAGCGGGACGCCGTGCTTCCGGACCACAAGCGTACCTCTAAAACCACAAAGCTATCACCCTCGGCGTTCCATCGTACTACCGAATTGTACGTGGGATCCTCGAGCATTCTGCGAAGTCCTGGGTGAGTATGTGTTTCGGGCCAAAGGGGCGGGTAGGGGAGGTCGTTGCCGAGGATTCATCGTACTTGTAGAGTTTGCGCACCTAGGGGAGGGGGACGATGTGTTAGTTGCGCTGCACTTGATAATTCCATTTCAACATGTGAAGACGGCGGGACGGGGCTCACAAAGTCGCTGGAGTTGCTGGCGGCCGGCGCGGCGGTCGCGTCGCTTTCGGCGGGCGGCATGATTGCGGCCAGAATAGTTTGAATTTCGCACCCAAGCCGTCAATACCTCTCGAGGGCAGCGCAGGCGTTGCGATATGGTCAATGCAGTCGAGATAACTAAGACTGATAATGGCGGCCCGATATGGCTTGGCCGGTTGGATATGCGCAGGAAAGAGTCTGGAACCAGATAAGAAACAATCACAAGCAGAGGTGCACAGTTTGAAGATTGCCCCCTTCCAGGTTCTCTCATCCCCACAAGAGAGGAATGCGACTGCTTCCCTGGTCCGAGCTGCGAGTGGGCCCCAGTTTCCTGTTAAGGTCGCGTACCATAGGCCCGCTTCACGACGCAATGCACACGAGGCGGGCGGGTCGAGACTGGTGTGTACAGCTGTGTTTCTCGATCTACGAAATTAAATGTGTTGTTGTTGTTATTGTTGTTGTTGCCCTGTTCGTGCCGTAGACATGATCTGATGCAAACTATGGCCTGGGTTTGGCTTTTCGTTGATGGCACGAGTCATTTGGCAGGCCACAACGGGTGTGGGGAGCCGTCTTAGCGCTGCGGGAGCTGAACCGAAGCCGAGAGGGTGACTTTGGCCTGCAACAGCGGGGCGACGTCTAGACTCGGCGAATAGGACGTTACCTAAGATCACCTGTCAAGTTGGAATAATGCGGAACTGGTTCTTGGTGGAGGGAAACCATCGGCAAAGGAAAACGGGCAAAAAAGAAAAGCCCAACCTCCGTCGAGACCGCAGTTGAGGTTGCACACGCCACAGTTGACAGTTGACAGCCCCGGAGGCGAGGGCGACCGAATAGAGAGGTGGCAGGGCGAGCGTGGGAGGAGCGTGGGTGTGGGAAACAGCCCGAGCGGGGTGTGGTGTGAGATTCGACCTTTGTGCAGGACTCGACCCTGCAAGTGGAAACATGGTGCGAAAGTTGACGGGAGACAAGAAGAGTACACTAATCGCGAAGACCTGTTTTGGGCCGTTCTATTTTGTTATCTGAATATTTTCCTCTGTTCTACTGGCCCTCTCCGGGGATGATGCCCTCCGGGCCCTCGATCTCGATGGCGGACGTTTTGATCCCCAGATTTCCGAGTCGCAAAAGCGGTTTGTTCCCCCAAATCAATCTCGACGCGGTGGCGTCAACGTTCTTGGGTTGATGGTTGATGAGCTGCACAAGCAGGGTAGGACCCCTGAAGCCTGACAGGCCAAGATCCTGGCCTCTGGGCATGCAGCGCCCTCATGATTTGCTGCACTGGATCTTGGGCTGTGAACAGGGATGCTGGGAGCCGAGACCGACACCGAACTGATGAAGGCCGTTCTCGACTTCTTTCGACCCCAAAGCTACGGGAAAGCTTGAGGTAGGTAGCCGTTGAAGTGCTGAGAGGCTATAAGAGAAGTGGGTGATTCAAGTAACAACGCCCGAATTGATAAAACAAACAAACAACACCGCCCGATGTTAACAACCACATTCAGAGCATCTTCAAATCCCTGCCGCCTGGGTCCAGGAGTCATCATATATGTACACAGTACATATTTGACTAAGTTGCACTATATTTTAGGTGCTGAAGTATCTGCTTCTTTCGTCGTCACTTCAACTAGCCCATGACCATCCCCTCTTCCGGTCTTGACGAATATAAACAACATTTCGCATCACTTCATAACTCGCAAGAATCGCTGCCTCAACTCCCAGCACCGAATAATCAACCATCAGGCCACCTTAAACTTTGTGAACCAAATTGACCACCAAACTCGTCTCACCCGAACAACCAGCAATATTGGTCGGCCGTGCTGCCAAATGAGGTCTCTTCTTGCCGTGCTAACAACCCTCAACGCAACCGAACGCTCACCTGACCAACAAACACAACTCCCTCTCACCCCAAAACCCGTGCCGATACCCGAGCAGGCCGGGTGCTGGGAAGGCCGGAGGGCTCTGCGACCAGAAAAGGCAACCCGTGCTGCCACCGAACCCAGCAAGGATCGGCATACCTTCAATCCACAGGTTTTCAGCCTTTTTTTTTTCCTGGTTGCGTGTTTCCAACCGCCAAGACTCGTAGAGTGGAAGGACTCGCTGGCTTTGCCGGTTTCCGGCACACCGACAAGATCGAACGGAGCGAGCCCTTCCTTTCACCGCAGGCCACGGGTTGTTGTGGACCTCGACCGGGTATCCAACCGTGCCATGCCATGCTAGCCCAACCTTCTTAAATATGTCCAAAGACAAGAAGAGTTTGGCTAAGAATAGATACTTGCTCAAGGTAACATCGGTACGAAGTACCACGAAGACAAGAGTTCGGAAGCGGACAACAACTCCGCAACAACAGTCTCTCTCGTCTCGGCTGCTCGGTTCAGATCATGTCACCACACAGCAAGCAGGTAGTGAGTGCACACGCCAGAGTATGTATGCTTATGGTCGTCCGTCGCCCAGTGATACCAAATAGTGGTTGGTTATCAACAAACACTCGATCACACCTTTTCAGATAAACAATCGTTGCATTACCCACAAACGCCGTGCTATGGTGACCCTGTCTCTCTCTCTCTCTCGTCTTTACGTAAGATACAAAACCTACAGCAACCCAAAAAGACTGGACATCACCACCTCAAAAAGCAGAACCCAATCTTGATGCCTAATTTTTCATGTCCACCATCCACCTCCCTCTCCCTCCAACAGAATCTAATACCCCAGAACCTTCTGCCCCTTAACCTTCTCCTTCCCAACCTCAGCCCCCTGCGTCGAGAACGCACAGTATTTATCCTTGATCGCCACCACCTCGTATGTGCCCTCCTGGCTGGCCCGGATGACCTTGCTGTGCTCGTGGCTCACTTCGTGGCGGGTCTCCAGCACCTGGCTCTTCTGGCCCTTCCGGGCGTTGGTGCTGCGCGTGTAGGTGAACTCGAAGGGCGGGGTGCCCCAGAACTCGAAGAGGATCTCGACCTCGCCGCCCTCGTGGATGTCGACGCGGGCGTTGCGGCCCTGGCTGATGCGCACCGCCGGCATGGGGTGGATCGCCTTGGCGATGCGCACCGGCGCCCGGCACTCGCTGGCCTTGTCGGCGATGGTCGTGATGGCGAACTCGCCCGGCGACTCGGCCACGCGCCGGAAGTTGGTCGTCGGCGACCGCGCCTTGCGCTCCACCCCGTCGAACGTGTACCACACCTCGAACGGCGGCGTGCCCGAGAGCGTGTACGAGATGCGCTCGCCCACGCAGTAGTCTGTGCGCGTCTCGAGCGGGTAGATGGTGGGCGCCTCAAACATCTGGACCTGCACCGCGGGTCCGCCGAGCTCCGCCATCGAGTGGCAGCCGCTGCCGTCCTTGACGTCGCGGATACGGATTTGCTGCGTGCCGAGCCGGAGCTGGTGCCGCGGGATGCGGATTTCGTACGTGTGCGAGTTGATGGCCGGCGTGCGGTAAATCTCGGGCACTGCAGCGCTCTGGTGCTTGAGCTCGATCTCCAGCGCGAATGGGGGGACGCCTGTCAGCGCGACCGGGATGCCGTCTTCGTTATCCTGCTCTGACTTGCAGTACTTGAATGTCTGCCCGGGCTTGACGAAGGCCGCGGACGGCTTTCGGTTCACCTTCTGTTTGACCACCAGCGGCTTGAAGTGGCGGGCGCTGCTATACAAGTGGTCTTCCAGAGCGGTGAATTTGTATTTGTATGTGCCTGCCTTGGACGTATCCGCCTGGATAGTCTCCTTCCCAAGGGTGGCGTCGAATTTCCGCTTGCTCAGTGCGCTAGACCCTTGGAGAGGTTGATGGCGGACCTCGTATTCCACGGTGTATGGGGGTGTTCCTTAGCACGTCAGTTTTTCATGTCACTCGAGCCTTGGAGGTGTCGGGTGGCTTACCTTGCAGAGCGACTTCGAAGCCCGACACGTCGCCCTCGCAGACATCTTCCAACACGAAGCCGCCGTCTGTCTGTCTAACGCCGTGTGACAACGGCACAGCCATTTCGGGCCGAGGGTACCAGTCGAGCTCAAACTTGGATGCCTTGGCGTCAACGACTCCGTGACACTGGTTATCCCAAACATCCGTAATTGTGTAAATGCCACGGGTATCGACGCCGAGAAACCCGTTGTCGCTCCTAACCGTCCGCTCAAAAACCTTCGGATTGTCTTCCGGCCCGTCGTTGGTGTTGGTGTAGAAGATTCGCCATGGCCCTTCCCCAGTAAGGCGGACCGGGAGCTTCGCCGTTGCACCCTCGACAGCCAGCATCTTTCGCTTGCCCTCGACTTGACCAAAAGCAGCGCGTGGGCTCTGGCGCCTCACAGAAATCTTGAGCTCTTCCTGCAAGAAGTTTCTGCAGCCTCTCTTATCCTGGACACTCGTCAAACCCAAGGTGTACTCGCCGCCTTGCGTCAACGGCTTTGTCTTGATTTGATACGTGTTCTCTTGAATATTGGTAGCCTTGTGCTGCTTCCTTTTCCCGTCGTGGATGATCTCCCATTCAAGCGTGAATGGGGCGTCGCCGAGGAGCAGAATTTCAGTTGTGACCTCATCGCCCAAGCAGGCGCTCACCTTGCCCGATCTGTGTTGGATAAGGGCCGACGCTGCCGGCTTGACGTCCTGTTCTAAGACATACTCGGATCCGGTGAGCCTCCGGCCCCTGTTGTAAATGTCGTCGCCGATGTGGGTGAAGATGTACTTGTGATGTCCGGCAACGCGGGGGATGAGATCCATCTGGTATCGCAGGCCAGGAATGTTGATCCTCTCAGACCGACGATCGCCATTGGAGATAACGTCGTATCTGACAACGAAAGGCGGTGTTCCGATCAAATCCATGTCCACGCGCAGGCCGATCGAATTACCGGCACATGTGTCGGGGATATCCTCGGTGCGCAGGGTGACTTTGGGCTCGAGAGGGTTAAGTAGCAGGCAAGAAGAGGGCTCTTGAACTTCGCCCTCACACGAGCTGGCAGACACGGACTTCAGAGTGTACAGACCCGGGGCGGAAATGGACGGCCGGTCACGGGCGTTCTTTGCATTGTACGTGCCCGTAGTGACAACATCTCCGTGGTCGCCGCTTTCAGTGAGGGTATCGATGGGTGAGAAAGTCCAGGCTAGCGTATGTGCTGTGACGTCGGGGGTCTGGCCAGCGATCTTGAAGCGGACGGGCAGCTCCTTGGATTCACCCTTGGCAACCTTGAGCGGTCTCCTCAAGTCGCAGCCCTCGAGTCGTACCTGTGGGCGCTCCTTGACAACGAAGTTTTGCACGAGATGCTTGGGCTTGGGCTTTGCATCCGGGTCCTCGACTGAAGACTCATACTTGACGAGGTTCCCGAATCCGTCTTGGACCTCGTCTACAGAGTATTGCCACTCTCCGCTGGCGTGCATGGATTCGTTGAGGCTGACAGGCACCCGCTGTGGCCTGGCCCAAGAGATATCCTCGTCATCCAGACTGATCATACTCGTCGAACGCAGGGCACCAAGAGGGGACGTGAAGCCTTCTGGCTGCAAGCTCTGGAAATGGAAGCTGTGGTCCTTCCCGTTAATTGTACGGCTGTACTTGATCTTCAGTGGCGGCGTCCCCTCAACTCGAAGGGAGAGGTCCGAAAGATCGCCCACGCAGCGTCCTTGCGCGACAGAACCGACCCAGGCCTTTGGGCAAGGCACGACGAACGTTTGAGGGTTTTGCCGCTGAACCTCTAGCTTGTACTCATCGAGGACCCGTCCCAGCTGGTAAACGCCAGGCTTCTTCACCAGGTAATCGAATTGAACCACGCTTTGGACCCCCTCCTGGCTTTCCCGCTTCGCTTTGCGTTCAATGTCCCGGATTTGCACCCTTGACAGTTTGATGGTCTCCTGCTGGTTCGTTTCAAGGTCGGTGCGGATGAGCTCGACTTCAACCGGAATGGTGGCATTGAAAAATATGGGCAATGGCACCGTCTTACGGTCGCCACCCAAGCAGAAGGGGTGAAGTTCAGGGTTCAGCACAGCGGAACTAACACGGTCAGCTTCTAGCGAAAGAGGCCGGGGGGCCTTCTACTTACCCTTCTGGGAGAATGTTGATGACTTGGCGACCCATGATCAACGAGGAATTGTGTAGAATATTGGACACCTTCACATTGTGTTCCGAGATCGCGAGCTCGCGGTCGTAGAAGACTTTGACGAAGCCGAGGATCCATACCTGCCAGGGAAACTGCATAACCGTTAGCACGCTTGCGATTCACAGCGTTGAAGACTTCTCGGGACCTCATACTCCGATATTAAACATAAGCAACCAGTCGAAAAGGGCATGGAAGAAGAATGCCACAACCACGAACGACTGTGACAGCTCAAGCCATGGTATCCTCAGCTCTGGTAGGCCAAAGAGAAAGGCGCAATCTATTGCGATCCATTTCAAAAAGAGCCAAAAGGACTCCGTGTCCTCCTCCACCAACTGTGCCCAGTCGTAGAACTTCCAGGCAAAAAGGGCGACATAGAAGCCAAAGGCGTAGAGACGCTGTGTCGGGGCATCGAGTATGTGTAGCGGGACTACGGGCGCAGAATTCGCTGCTGCTGGCGTCCCTCGCTGGGGGGCGACTGGTAGAGTGCTCGTACGATTTGTCGAGGAAGCCGGTGCCCTTGCAGGACCTCTTTTTGAGGTTACCTGGGGCGTCTGTGGAAAGGCGCCGATGGGGGATTCGCCGCTCATGGCATGCCGAGTTGGGGGGGTCTCGATTGTGTCTCTGAAAGAATGTTGAGAATCCGCCGAGCAATAAAGAAAATTGTGTTGCTCGTTCGTTTGTTCGTTTGTTCGTTTGTTCGTTTGTTCGTTCGTCGAGATCTGGGGGTTCTGCCCCGGGTTCGATCGAGCTTGTCGAGAACACAAAAGAAGTTGGTGATTACGAGGCACGAGCCAGGCCAGGAACTGGAGTAGTAGCTGACTGGGTATTATTGATTCGTCGGTGTTCGTTGTTGGAGTCGCGGTGTAGCTCTCGCTTCCACTCGTCGCATTCTGCTCGAGTTGCAAGCCAAAATTTACACTCAACTTGTTATCGCTGCACGTCGAGACGCGCTCCAGTCTGTGCCGCGCTGTGGTTTGTTGCAACGAGGCAGGGGCCTGTTCCCGGTGAACAGTGCTGGTTGTCATTGGCTGATTGGCTTTCAGAGCTCCGACAGAGCTCCACTCTTTGGATTGAAGCTGCTAAAGACGAACCAGCTCCGTCCACCTTGTCCACCGGTGGACTCTACACAATAAACGAGAGACTAGCATCATTTCTCTCAGGGAAGCTCTTCCCGTCCTTGAATTGCTCGACGTGCCCATGCCGGGACTGCGCTTCGTGACTGCTTTCCATGTACGATACTATCGTAGCACTTACGTAAATTGAGGTTGACTTTAAACCAGGCCATTATCGTCTCTCAAATCAGCGGGGTATGTAACTATTGTGCTTCGACACCTACAATAAGGTAACTGCTTGATTCCAATTCAACATCAATACAGCTCTTGATATCTCAACAATAACACATAAAAAAAGCAATTTAATCGTTTCTCTTGAACTTGGACTACGAGATCACTCGATTATAAGCGTCGGGTCAAAGTATATCGGTTCATACCTTCGCTTTCTCGCTCACACATGTGCATTTTCACCACCAATCCAACCCAGTCCCCAAATACCTACCATAGGTATCTACCACTCGCTCTTCTGCAGTGAGTGAATGCTCCCTCCACTCTTGTCACATTAAAAATTTTCAACTAATTCTGGGAAAGGAAAACCAGAACCTTTTAATGGTCCCGCTTTTCACAAGTGATCAGAAATTTTGAAGAACGGGTGGCTTGTGTGGGTGGGCTTGAGCTTTCAAGCAAACGCAGAACACCCCGGTTGTACTTGACCACATCTTCGCACCCTTCAACTTCGCCATCTTGAACGAGATGTGCTGAGTGGGAGCGTGGTGAGTATCAAAACAACAACACGCGCGTGGCGCGTCATTTCTAACCGAATCAATACCTAGTATCCCTTCTACCACGTCTCTACGACCTCCTAGGACCCGGATCAGACCACATCCGCTCCGCCGGTATCTTCCTTTCGCGGCGCCTTTTATACAACGTTTTTAGAATGGCACAAAACCAGACTAAAGACACCCTCATCGAGATGGCGACTCCGGGGAGAAACACCGACGTGGGTTCCCCCCTTCCCCTGCGGCGGTCCGGTCGCCCACGCAAAAGGCGATCCGATCATTCAGAAGATGCCGACTACAACAAGGAACCATTGGCTACCTTGCGTCCCTCGACCGAAACTAGGCGGAATCCCAAGCGGCGGGCGGCCCCGGAGGCGTTTGATATGCCCGACAACCTCCTCGAGGCATCTCTGGGACCTTGGAAGGAGAATGAGCAGGCTGAGTGGGCCAGCTGGATCGAGCTGGAATCCGATCCGGTCCGTTCTTCTTTCCTTTGCTGTCTCTAATATCACGAGCTCACAATTTACAGGCTTTTTTCACAGCTATCTTGGGTCGCATTGGCGTCAAGGGAGTGAAAATAGAGGAGGTGCTCTCGGTCGATGAAGACACCTTAGCCACCCTGCCGTTAGTTGCGCCCTTGGGCCCAACATACGAAGGGCGACTCAGCTGACTTTCCTCAGTTCTCCAGTCCACGGCTTAGTATTTCTATACGAGTATGTCGCAGAAGAGAGCGCTGAGGCCACGGAGACAAGCCGTGATGTATGGTTCGCGAATCAAGTCAGTCACTCTCGTACTCCCCGCTGTGCGGTATGTTGCTGACAACCAACATAGACTACCCATAACGCATGCGCCACTATTGCCTTGCTGAACATTATCATGAATGCGGAAGGCCTAAACCTCGGTGAGGGGCTTCGCAAGTTTAAGGAAGAATCTAAAGACCTATCCCCACCGCTGCGAGGAAACATGATTACCAATAGCGCTTGGATACGGGTGGCTCATAACTCCTTTTCTCGGTTAGCAACAAACTAATGCTCATAAGCCCCCCCATCCCCCTGGACTGACATTCTACAGACGGTTAGACCTCCTCAACGCCGCCCTCAGTCTTCAAAACGACGTAGACGCCGAGAAGAAGAAGAAGCGGGCCAAGGCGGCCGCTGCGAGACAGAAGAAAAGGAATCAACAACGGGCGAAGTCTAAAAGCGACAAGTCCTCCGATGGTTCCGCCTATCATTTCATCGCGTTTGTCCCGGTTGGGCAAGAGGTATGGCAGCTGGACGGTCTTACTTCAACGCCCGTCTGCATCGGTATGTCGCCAAGTACCCTACCCACGTTTCTTTCACCACGTTTCTAACATGGCATCACTGTAGGCGAATACGGTGAGGACCAGCACTGGACCTCGGTTATGCGCCCCGTCTTAAAGGAGCGAATGATGCGGTACGAGACCGAACGGCTTTCCTTCAGCCTTCTCGCACTCTGCGGCGACCATCTAGCTTCTGTTCGTCAAAAGCTGGCCGCCAACATCCGCAGCTTAGCAGAGCTCGAGGCCAAGCAGCATCACGACCCTGGTTGGGAATCCAAAACTACCCAAGATATCATCCGTAACCCCACCGACGAACGCCTCTCATCCTATCAACTCGACGAGGGGGATATCCAAGCCGTGCCCGAGAGCGAGATTAAAAAAGCGCCCTTGAAACCGCAGGAATCTTCCTATTCTGGCCCCTCCTCTTCGTCCGTTTCTATCTCCGGGCCCCCTCCCCCTTCACCCGCTTCCTCGACCATTAACGGCAGTGGCCGCGAGGCGATCGATGCTGCCCTAAAGCTTTGGGTAGAACTCGGCGCCGAACAGAAGCGCATCGTGGAGGAATACGACAAGGAGGTTAGGATGGCCGGCCAGGACTCGCTTGGTCGCACCAAGGACTACACAGCAGCCGTGCACGAGTGGGTTGGGAAGCTGGCCGACCACGGGGTGTTGAAACGGTTGCATAGGGAAGTGCAGGATTAGAATGGGAAGTTGTGCGCTGTGAGGAGAGATGGAGGTGAGATTTCCATGGTGTGGTTGGCAAGGGCTGGGTACTGGTCCAATGGTTTGACGGCCGTTGAAGGTCATTCAAGGGTTATTTTGAGGCGTTTATGGCATGGTAATACCGAGGGGATCCGTCTTCTCTTGGTCTTCTCTTGATTTAGTTTGGGAGAAGCCACTGGTGATTCAAAAGGCCACATCCCAGTCGTCGATGCTGGGCGCTGTTGGAAACGTGGCCGTGTGTTTTTTCGACGTATCCTACATAATCAACCTGGCAATACGACGAAAGCTGATGTGAATTGAAGCTTACACGCAGAAGAGCTGCCCAGTCGAATTGTAACAGCAACGCTGGCGTGGAGTTTCCCATGACGTAATTACCAAACGAAACACAAACCAAGGCGGTCTGGACCTTGCTGGGCGGGAAAATGACGGCATTAACAGGACCCCTGCTGCCGGTAAGCTTTCCGCGCTAGCGGGGGTCTCCAAAACTCACCAACAGCAGCAGGTTCGGGGACACAAGACATCTCCGGCGTCACCAGTTCCCACGCCCGAAGGTTGGAATTGCGGCCCTGCCTCGAACAGAGTTCCAACCCACGAAAATAAATCATCCACGCTTAGCGTCGCCTTCCTACTTCATCTATTGACGCCTGGAAATAAACTCGAAGTCGAAATTGCCCAGGAACGCAAACCAACCAGCGGTCGACAAACCGCCGCCGCCGACGACATGTCCAAACGAACCAGCGCGTCCGCCGCGAATGGCGTTGCCTCAAAAGAGGGCGCCCGACTTGATCTGCCGAGTATGTCGATTCGTTCACCAGCCTGTCGCGTCCGTGAGAAGAGTGTGGGAGCGGAACAAACGACCTGGTAGTTAACGCACACCGCAGCATCGGATAAGCAGAAGATCCTGCTCTCGACCGACGCCGGACACTTCTCGCTCATCCGCGCGTTGCATTTGGCAGATCTCATCACCGAGATGAACGGTGAGTGACCCCCGCCGGGTCCCCGACTTTATAGGGACACATTGGAAGCAGCATGAAAAACGGATGGGAGCTGACCAAAGTACCCCCGACGTAGGCCTCTGCGGTATCCTCTCCGTTTTCTCGTCGATGCGCTATTGCGTTGGCGACTCGGCGCAACACGGCAACCTCTGGGCGGCCCTCTCCCTCCTCCCCTTCGGCCTCTTCTTCGACTTCCTCGACGGCAAGGTGGCACGCTGGAGGAAAAAGAGCAGCATGATGGGGCAGGAACTCGATTCCCTCGCCGACCTGGTACATACATCCCCCCTCCCCTCTCCACCGCACCGCACCACACCGCACCGCACCCCCTACTAACCAACAACCTCCCTCACAAAACAGATCTCCTTCGGCGTCGCCCCCGCGGCGGTGGCCTTCGCGATCGGGATCCGCACGCCGCTCGACCACCTCTGCCTGGGCTTCTTCGTGCTGTGCGGGCTGACGCGGCTGGCGCGGTTCAACGTGACGGCGGCGGCGATCCCCAAGGACGCGACGGGCAAGGCGCGCTACTTCGAGGGCACGCCGATCCCGACGACGCTCGGCCTCGACGCCCTCATGGCCTGGTGGCTGTCCAACGGTTGGATCCACGATGCCCTGCCCGGCGGCGTGTGGTTCGCCGGCTCCGCCTTCGAGCTCCACCCCGTCGTGCTGCTGTTCATGGTCCACGGGTGTTTGATGACCAGCAGGACGATCCATATCCCCAAGCCGTAGGCGCAAAGACATGGGGGGGAATAGATATGTACACTCAGATATGTATGTATGTTGAATGGTCTTGGGATTTGGGTTGACGTTGATTTTGGGAATTGGGGGTGAAGATTGGTGGGGGCGGGTGAGACAGGTTAGAACGAGCGAGCATATGTATATCTTATACTCTCATAGCGAAAATGCAGTGGATTGGATGGGGATTGCGGGTGGTTCATGGCTTGGTTGGGTTGTGCGGGCATGGGGTTGGTTCGGTATTTCGTCAAGAAGCAATAACTGGCGTACAGCTACACTTCGCTTCAACATCAAGGCATGATGCATGGGCATTGCTGCTTTTTGAGAGCGTACTAAGTGAAGGGGGCAGGACAAGTTATCACGCCGTTTTTCTGCGATATTTGAGGCGGGCTATGAGCGGCGCATAAGCGCCATTTCATAACATTTCCTGAGTTATTCCTCTAGATTACACCTAAGCCTTCTTCGCCTCCTCCTCCTTCTTGTGAGGGAAGGGGTTGTACATCCCCCGGTCGGCCTTGAGCTTGCGCAGCTTTTCGATCGCATCCTCCAGGTCGACGGGCACGTCTCTCGCCTGCGTCGAGGTGTCATCGCGGTAGCGGATGTTGACCTTGCGGTTGCGCATCTCGTCGTCACCAACCACGAAGCAGAAGTTATCTGGAATAGTTAGCGTTTCCGGGCCTCAGGTCAGGGAGGGGGGAGAGCCACTCACATTGAGCCAGCTGGCCGTTGCGGATCTTCTTCTGGAGGGTGTTGCCGCTGCTATCGACATCTAGAAAATGTCAGTCGTGGTGAACAAGACTGACCGTAGGATCAGACGGGGCACATACCAACGTGGAAGCGCTCCTTCTTCAGAAGTGCAGCCACCTCCTTAGCGTAGCCCAAGAAGCCCATGCCGACCGGGATGACAATAACTTGACGCGGAGACATCCAGTACGGCCACTTGCCAGCAAAATGCTCGGCTAGAATAGCGGTGAAACGCTCAATGCTGCCAGCCATCGCGCGGTGGATCATGACCGGTCGCGCACAGCCAGGCGCAAGCGGCTTCTTGACGAGGAGTGGCTTCTTCTTCTCCCTTCCGTCCTTCTTCTCCTCGGCGGTACCGTCGGGCACTGGGGCGGGGACTGGGGCCGGGGCCGGAGCCGGGGCCGGAGCCGCGTCTTTCTTGTCCTTCTGCACGCTCTCCGCAGTCTGGTACTCAAGAGAGAAGTTGATAGGCTGCTGAAAGTCAAGTTGAATGGTGGCGCATTGCCATTGCCTCTGTAAAAAGTGTTAGTAGTCGTTTGAGGGCACTCGTGCACAGTAACCTTACGTTGAGACAGTCCTATTGAGGTCCTTGGTTAGCATTCAAGAATCCACGATAAGTGCCTTGGAGAATACATACCAGGACAGCGATATCGACCTTAGGCCCATAAAAGGCGCCATCACCAGCGTTGAGCTCCCAAGTGACACCCTCGTTTGCAGCAGCAAACTCATTGAGGGCTTCCTTGAGGCGGGCCTCAGCGCTATCCCAGGTCGAAATCTCACCCATGAACTTGTCCGGGCGAGTGGACAGCTTCAGCTTGAATGTGAGACCCAGCATGCCATAGAAAGAGCTCATGAAGTCGAAGAGATCGGCGACCTCCTCTTTGATCTGGTCCTCGCGGCAGACTAGAGCAAGTCAGGACGTGGGAACTAGCGATAGAAAGGCGAAACGTACAGATATGGGCATCGTCTTGCTGGAACCGCCTCACTCTTGTGAGGCCGCTCAGTGCACCGCTGGCCTCATTCCGATGAAGGACGCCAAAGTCGGCAAGGCGCAGCGGCAACTCCTTGTGACTCCGTTCCTATCGCGGATAAATTAGTAACCCCAATACCGTCGTGAAAACGGTTTGCTTACCCTGTGGCGGAACATCATCGCATGGGCTATGACTTGTTAGAAACTGCAGAAGAAAGTGTAGACGACGACATACCAGGGCAGTTCATGGGCTTGAGGCCAAATTGTTCCTTATCCACATCAAGCAGGAACATGTCCTCTTTGTAGTGAGCCAAGTGACCCGATTGCTCCCAGAGGGAGACATTGAACATGTTGGGGGTCATGACTTCGTCGTAGTCCCGCTTCCAGTACTCTTCACGAATGTAGTCCATGATAGCGTTGTTGATGCGCATTCCGTGTGGCAGCCACATCGCGGAACCTGGCGAGGACTCCTCAAAGTAAAAGAGCTCCTGCTGTTTCCCGATCAAACGGTGATCGCGCTTGGCAGCCTCCTCGAGGAACTTCTTGTGAGCGGCCATCTGCTTCTTGTCAGGGAAAGACACGCCGTAGATACGCTGCAGAGAGTCGTTGTTGGCATCGCCAAGGAAGCTTCATCAGCGTTAGTTTCATGGGGGTCAGATCCAAGGCTCATGTCTAGTAGCAGAATGACATACTACGAGGAAGAGTTCTTCATAATAGCAAAGGCCTCAATCCTGCTGGTATCAGGCACATCTGGGCGGGGTCAGCTTCGTCTAAGCACGCATTCCCGCCATGGGGGAGTGAGAGCACAGATTGAGGCCGGTCAGAGGCGGGCTAGCTTACGGGGTCCACGGCACAAATCGCTGTTGCCACTGCGTCAGCACTTCTGAGGGTTGGGTACCATACTAATCCGACTCACATTAGGGGGCCGTTCCTGTAAACGGTGGTTCTTGTGCCATCCGCAATCTTGTCATTGATGATGTGAACCTTGTAGGGGTTGTAGGCGAACATCTTGAGTAGGTTCTCTTTGCTCATTTCCTGTTTCGCATGTGAGCCGTATTGAACCGGACGGTGTGTAGAAAGAGACGGAGCCGCTCCTTGAGGGGAGTGCCCTCCCCGAACATACCAGTCTCTGGAAGGGCTGCTTCTCCTTCACAATCTTGGTGACGATGCTCTCGAGGGGCGCCCAATCAGTAGACTGCACAGCAGCGCCGCCTGGCAGAGCCATTTCGTAGTAGAATCCATTATCGACCGCTGTATTGTAAAACGATTAGAAGGATGGTGAGGATTTTTCGGGGCCTGGGTCGAACGTACGAGGACCAATGCACAGCGAGCAACCGAACCTCCGCTCGCAAGCCTCGCCGAGGATATGGGCGCTGGAGTGCCCTAGAATACCACTTGTTAGCCATTTCCTTGGCCATGATATTCTTCCCAAGGTCCCTTACAGAAAACAAATTTGCCCTGATCGTCGTTGAAGTCGAGCAGTTCCAGCTTGCAGCTTTTCTCAATTGGGCGCTCGATATCCCACAGGTGCTCCCCATCTATCCTTGCGACAACGGTACGCTTGTACAAGCTGTTGGAGATGCCCTTGGCGATGTCGGCTGGGGTGGTCTCGTATGCTTTACCGGGCTTGACGGTGCCGTCGGGCATGGTAATCAAGATCTCATCGCGGGGCTTCTTGGCGAGTTCTTCTTGCTGCTCCTGGTACAATCGGTCGAACAAATCGAGGCGCTCCTGTAGGAAGGCCGGGGCTGGCTGCATCTCGAGAGGGCCAGTGTCGGCGGCCGCTGCCGCTGCCGGGGCTTTCTTCTCCTTCTTTGGCTTCTTATCGCCGCCGCCAATGGCGGCCTTTTGCAAGGCTTCGGTGACCTTCTCCATTGTGCCTATTCGAGGGGGATTCGGATTGTTGAAATTCGGCAGCAAACAATCGAAGTGCAGGTTTTGTAACCCCTGAAACCCGACCGTGAGTCACTTCAGACGACCGGGAGAAGTACCACTCAGGCAGTGGGCTATGGCGGGGTCTGAGCCGAACGGTAAATTTGTTGCGAAACGGTGCACTACCCCGCGATCGATAAGAGACCAGGACATTTGGCCAAGGATCAGCGCATCTGGGCGCATGTCACAGCGGCCAAGCCGGGCTAAAAAGCTCGGGCCACATGGTTACACTGTATCGTCAGTAATTGGTGAATGATCCAGGGACGACGGGAGAAACATCGAATCGGTCTCGAGGCCCATATCCGTCCCTCCAAGGGTCCCGCCCCCCTCCTCGCCGGCCCGTCCCTGGTAGCAATCCTTCCACATACATGCTATAAGCAACCCCTCCCGCCACCTTCGGCCTCTGACCAGAGCTTTCTCGACGCCCGAAACCACGAAATCATCACAAGCAACCCCGCGAAGCACGGCACTTCTGTGACGCAATCACGCAATGCGCTCCTCGCTTGAGGACGTCCCTGACGAGATAATCCGCCATATTCTGCTCTATCTACCGCCGGAGCACACGATCCAGAGCTTTCAGTTGGTCTCGCGCCGATATCATCACCTTTCGAACGAGCCCCTTCTCTGGCGATGGCACTGTCGAAGCTCGTTTCGCTTCTGGCACCCCGAACATAGGCTTTCAGAGAAGCTTGCGGCGCTCGCGTCTGCGGTGGACTGGAGGGGGTTATGGGTTACGAGGAAGCAAAGGAACGACAAGGCGGCGCGGTTATTGGACGGCGTGATCGCAACAAAGGTCGGCCAGCTCAAACGGATGCAAGGCATTTGCGAGCTGGGCTACGATGTGAAAGACTTCCTACTGGAGCAGTGTCATGTCGATGATGACGCCGAAGATGTCCTGGCAAGGAGGTACGAGAGCTATTTTCATCCGGATCCGGACTCTCAAAACCCAATCATGGCTAAGCCCCGTGCAGGTACTACGCGAACTCGGCATTGGACAGCATACATAGGGGGGCGGCGGTGGAATTGTGGTCTCGGTATCAGGGCCGAGCACTGAGCTCTGAGGGACTTGATACTGCGCTGGGTGCGTTTGATATGTTTGTGTTGCACGACCGGGAAGAGGACCTCGATTACGTATGTTTACGTGCGAAACAACCGTTTAAAACCCACAGCTAATGGCTTGATAGGTGGTACGGACGCTTGATAACCTCGCCGACCAGTTCAGGACCGAGCACCCGACCTTCGAAGATCTATCCACCAGAGAGAAAGCTCTCTCCCTCGTCCGCTGGTTAAGAGCAAATAATCTTACCGGCATGGACAACCCTGAAATCAACTACCGTAACCTCAGGAACTGCTTCATCGGTCATGCCCTGTCTGAAGAAGACCACCCTTCCCTGCCTATCATATCGAGCGCCATCTTCACCTGTATCGCCGAGCGCCTGGGATTGACCGCTTTTTGTCTCGGCTTTCCCAACCATGTTCACGCAGCAGTGTACGCCCCGGCCGGGATGGATCTGGACGGAGGAGAAACGGATGAATCAGATGGGGAAAAGAAGCGAATGTGCTTGGACCCGTACGGATCTGACCAAGAGGTCACCCTCAGAGACTTACGGCTTAGGCTTGTCGAGTTTGGCTGGACACAGGGGACCGAGGCCTTCCTCACGCCGTCACCCGTTCCGATTATCGTGCAGCGGACGGCACAAAATATCAAGTCTACTTACGATTCAGTCCGCGATCTCGCAGATAACGACACCTTGGGGGCTGAGATGAAGCGCTTGCGGAGTGGCTACCCTGGTTTGAACATGGATGCAGCGAGATACGCTTCGATGTGGGCAGAGCTTCTGATGAAGCAAACATCTAGCTTCCACTGGGACTCGAACCTCGACTCCTTCCTTCAAAAATTTACCTTATCCTGGAGCGAGGACGTCTGGATAGTCAAGAAGTACCTTGTACCCCTATACGACCAATTCGTGATTTCGCAGCCGAACCGCCGGCCGCGAAACCCCTGGCACAATGTACACGAAGCCCTCGGCATGCTAGAGAACCTTGATAAAAGGATACCGGAGCTCAGCCGGCGGTACACGGAAGACATAACGGCGCGCGTCCGCTATAAGATCGGCCAGGTCTTTCGTCATCGGCGGTACGGTTACATTGGTATCATCAACGGTTGGGCGGCTATGGGCAGCGCCAGCCTTCCGATGCCGCATTATCTCGACGCTGCCGAGGCTGAGGAAGAAGGCGACGTGTTTGATCCGACAGAGTCGGTGCATTCGAGCAGGTTGGGGCCGCAGAGGACGTATTATACCTGCCTGTGGGTTTTGCTCTTGCAATCTCGAACTGTGGCGCTGTACTGACAATACCTGAGCTCACCCAGGAAGACTACCGTTGACCGGCTGCGTGTGGCCCAGGATAACGTGGTTATCGTCACGGACCCTAACGTCATCTCGGACGACCTCATGTTCGTGGCGGGAAAGTTCTTTCTGCGATTTGATCCAGAAACTTGCACATTCGTGTCGAACCTCAAGGAGTACTACCCCGACGACTGATTGACGACTAGAGTAATGAGTATGCTATGCAACGAGTTATCTTTGGCAATCTTTGGATTGGGAAGCACTGTGTATGAGTCCGCCCGACACCATCGCCGCAGGCAGGGATATCATTGTGTCAAGGGGCGTGAATCACAGGGACATTGACGGGGCGGCCACATCATACTTGTTGTAGTCGAAGTTGGATCGCGGGCGTGGAAATACCAGGCAAGTACCATAATCAACCTTTCTAATTTAAAGAGTGAAGCGTGCTGTGCAACGTTTGTACCACCACTGTTCATTACCCCGATCATGCTACTCTTTCCGGGGGCTTCAGGAAGCGAAGCAATCACCACCCATTATCTTTTCTCCATCTTTACTCAAATCTCGTTGGTATTTCATCTCCCACCCTTTCAACCCAGCATCATCCCGTCGTGTCATTTAAATAAAAAAATGGAAAAAGGGGGTATCTCAGGAAGACAAGAATCGAAGTACGCCAGAGCAATATCCACCTCCCCACCCCCGCCTATTAACCAACGCTGCCGACCTCGATCATTTTCCTAGGGGATGTGTTGAGACTCACCCCCTACTTCAGGCACTAACCAACTCAGCCTTCACGTTCCTATCCCTCGAATGTAGCGCTCTGGCCCCTGAGGGGCAGCAACAAACAGGCCCGGCAAGGCCTATTAAGCTCGCCCAGCTTCGCGCCTCGCAGCCCAACCCTTGAGCGCAATCATGACGATTACCCAAGCCATAAGCAGGCCGACCAAGCCCATAGTCACCGTGTACATGAACATGGCGTCCAGCTGGTAGTGGATCATGCCGTCGATGGTATCACCAGCCTACACCGCAGCGAATTAGTCAGCCACTCAGCTCATCAACCAGTCCCCAAAGCCGTGCCACAAGAGAGAGCAAGGAGAAAAAGAAGAATCGGGTATACGTACACTCGCCATAAAAATAACCCCCCCCGCGGTCATGCCAAACGCCGCCAGCAGCTCGGTCGGCGGGCGCGAGGGCAGCACGGAGCGCGGCGGGCGCAGCCACACCAGCACGTAGGTCAACGCGCGCGCCATCGAGGCCCCCGTCAGCAGGTTGCCCCACTGCTTGTGCACCATGCTGGACACCATGCTGCCCTGCGTGTGCGAGCTCATCATGATGCCGAGCAGCACGATCACGAGCGCGGGGAAGGGGTTGGTGGAGAAGCCGTAGCTTTCGGGCTCGGCGTGTTCCGTTGGGTCTTGGTAGTGGTTGTTGTTGCGCTCTGGGTCGTTGTCGTGGGGGATGGTGTAGGTGTGGCGGCTGTTGATGATGGTGGTGGGGGGCTGGGGGGAGGTCTGGATGGCCTCGGTGACGGTGTAGTTGAGCAGGTTGCGGATTTTGGTGGACTCGATGAGCATGCCGCACTGGGAAAGGGGGTTAGGTACCATGGCGACAGCAGGGGGGTGGAATGGTGAAAAGGGCTCGCTTACTAGGCCGCCACCGATGAAGAGGACGGTGATGGACATGTGCTCGAGATCAGTGGCACTCCACTCACCACCCCAGTTGCCGAGGTGCTCGAGGAAGATGTTGGTAGAGCCGTAGAAAAAGATGACGGCGCTCTCGACGAACTCGGCCGACGGGCGCCATTTCTGGCCCGCTTTTCTGGGGCGTATGTTCCAGGCCTAGTGGGTGTATTAGTTAGCCCTTGTTTGTCCTTGCGTAGGTGATGATATTCAAGAGTAACAAACCCATCCGAGTTCACCAAAACTGCCTGCCCATCGACCGAGAGTGAAGATGCCTAGCCAGACAAAAACACCTCCTTTGATCCAATGCGCCAACCCGCTGAAGATACCATGGCCCTCCTAGAGATTTGTTAGCAAGGGCTCGATGTACCCTTTGTTTTTCCTGGTTTGGGCTGGGCAAACACCTACAAAGAAACGGCCGAAGGTGATGATACCCGTGCACAGAGCAATGAAGCTCAGGATCAAAATTGTCCGGTCAACGAAGTTATAAGCAAAAAGTAGGACTTTCCAGAACCGGTCCGAAATCTTCCCTGCGATCTTGGCTACGATCGAATGAGCCTTGGTCGACTTGGAGAACATGGGCAAACGCGCCTCGAGGTCCTCGTCGCTGTCATCGTCGTGGTGGTAATCCCGATGCGTATCGTGGATGGGACTTGGTGGGGAATCGGCACCCGACGAAAGCGAATGGCTGCGGAGTGATTCGGTTTTTGGTTCGGTGCCTTGTCCGCTGTCGTTGGAGAAGCGGCCGTACGGCCCGGAGAGAGAATACCGGGACTCGTGCTCGGCCATGGCGGCGGTCGAGACGGGGATAAAGCCTTGGCGCTCCTCGGCCCGGCTGGCCAATTTGAACTTCTCCCGCTTCAACACCCCCGCGACCCGTGCCAAAACACCCACTGCAACCTGCGCGCCCACCACAGACGTCACGATCCAGCCGAGCTTGTGGTGCGCATTGTTCGGATACAAATCGGGTGTGCTCGCGTTGTAGATGACACCCAGCAGCAACCCTCCCGCGTTGATGGCGAGGAAGGCGAACTGCACAAGGAGTGTGTAACGCGAACGAGCGAGCGACAACATGACGGCTAGAAGACCCTTCTCAGCAAATCGCCTTGGTTTCTACAAAGTGTTGCATCTTACCAGCAGGCAACGCGAAAACCCATCCCACGACCATTAGGGCGATGTGCCCGTAGATGGCCGCTTTGTTGTCAGGGTGGGCAAAGTACGTGGGGGGGTATTGGTCCTCGGGCAAGGGTTTGTCGGCTTCCGTCATCTCCATGCCACCCCCATGATCATGGCCGTGGCCACCATCGCCGTCTGCAAGGGCGACTGGGATAAGACCCAGAATCGCAACGCTCGCGAGAACGGGTAAAATCGAAGTCACGGGCGCCTTCATGGCCAACAGTTTTCGGTGGTCTAGCCACCAGATTCCCCGAGTTTCGTCTGAACTCCAAGCTCAATTGGGTTCGGCTGGTAGCTAGAACCCCAACCTGCCCTCGACAGTGGCGCTCGTTAGGTAGGTAGTTAATATCGGCTCGGTAGTGATTGCCGTGACACCCTTGTTAGTTGAAGTCGCTGCAGGTGCCGAGTAACGACGATGCGTGATGCCGTCTGATGTGTGGGTTTTGACCTGGGATAGATCGGACGAGATGGGCCACTAGTCAGACGGCAAGGGACAAAGAGGAGAGGGCGCCCTTATTATTTCAACTTCTACACAGATCGAAGGCCCGTAACGCGCCGGAAACGGCTGTCGGGAGACCAAGGGCGGGCACATCTACGATTAATAAAAAAAGGCAACGGACAGATCCAACGGAGCACCTCGCTTTCCCTGTTCCGGTTGCTGATTGGTAATTCATAGCTAAAATTCCTGGGGCCGGGCAGGAGTCAGGCCACCCGGCTGTTCCTGTTTGGTGCCCATTTTTGGCGATGCCTTCATGTTTTGCGCGTCTGCAACTCCGGGACATCCGAAACTCTGAAAAGCGGCGGCGGGGAGGTGTCAGGTGGGAATCCAAAATCACAGTGTGTCGCATACTGTGCGGGGCACCAAGGTCGATCGCCCATCAACTGAGCCCGTTTGCTGACTGTGCAGTACGAAACCGCACACCAGCACGCCACAAATACGCATCGACAGCTTCAATTTAGCCAATGGCGATCTGTGACGGTCGAGCCAGTTTGAGGTGAAGCTTGCCGTCACATGTCAACGCCGTTTCTAGTAGCGGCGGTGTGAGGGTTCGCCCGACGTACCGGCGGACGTGAAAGAAGGACCAAATGCGATTCGCCCAAACTTCATGAACGGCATCTTGCTTGAGGTGGGGTCCGGAGTTACGTGAGCTTCATCGGCGAGCTTCCATGACAACAGCGAAGGGACGGAAAGCCGGAAACACCACGGGCCATTCATCCCTTCTGATGCGGGGCTTTAACAGCTCGTTGAGTCACCTGAATAAATTGTGGCCGTCTTCTAGGTTACTTCGTAACTACTTGAATTCATCTTTTCTACTGTGCGGCAAGAAAAGTTTTATCTGTTATTACGCGATCTAACTGATGATTTCACAACCTTCACGCTCACAAGTTCCGTTCGAGCTCGGCGGCAGTTGGAGATTGGGGGAAGCATCATGAATCCTTCGGACCCCGAGACCAAAGATGATGCAAGTGGTATCAGTCAGTCCCGCCCGCAAACCCGATACCACCCTCCCTGCCGCACAGTACCGAGACGCGGCCAAGACTTCCTGCAGCTACCACTCTTCTTGGACGTCTTCGTCCATCTTGGCGGCAAGCCGGCGGAGTCGGAGTTGCGACAGAGCCCGAGACGCGGAGCAAGCGAGGTCTCCTGTATGCTGTATGTGTGCTCTCAACATCGGGCCCTGATGAATCATTTTGACGCGGCCTCTTCGCTGCCCAACTCTCACAAGGTTCCCGCTGACTTGCGGCGGCGTATGTACTGTGCAGAGGAGATCTCTGGCTTACAAGTACACAGTACACATCTTCCATCCAGATAACCAAACACAACCAGCAGGGGCACCGTTTGGTCGCTGAATAATAGGGTAGAAAAGAATTGTCCGGCCAAACACAGTATGTACACAAGTTATCTCCGTCACATCATCGCTCTTAGCCGCCGTCGGCCGCGTCCCACGGCCGACACATTTCCAGCTTCCCTCTGCCGTTGGAATTGTGACCCCACCTCTTCGCGATGCTCCCGCATGGACCCTTGTTTGTGTGCACCCTGGTCCGCCCTTCCCGATTGCAGCACGCCGCCGCTGGCCCGCTGATGCCGGTAGCGGGGGATTCAACCTCACCGGGAACCAAACATTAAGTCTGGTGGAAAGAGGCAAGCCGTGAGGGGGCTGCATAATGGGCGGACGAAAATCTTGCCATCTTTGCCTCAGCTGTCCTACCTCAACTTGGACACGCATGCAGGCACTTACACACAGTATGCGCATAAGGTAGCCTTTACGGTACGAAGTAGTTAAACGGAGATATGACGGACCTGGTAGTCATTCTGGCCAGACCAGCCTTGCCGGAGCTAGTGTACAGGGAACCACACATCGGTCACACTGCAAGTTTCCTTAAGGTGGGGTGCCATCATCCGAGAGAAAAAAAATAGGAAAAAAAGGAAGGAAAAACTCTCGCTGCATGGGCCCGATATTGCCCGTGGGCTGGTGCTTCAGGACCCACTCGTCGTCTTGTTTCCTCTTTGAATCCACACTGTGTGTCTTGAGGTCCACAACCCCTTCAAGATCGCATGGCGACGGATCGCGGCTGCTTTTTTCACAAGTGCACGGCTCGAGCGGCTCATCGCCTTACCAGATCGCGAATCAAGTAGTGCGAGGGTATCTAAGGATTTCGGGCTCGCAAGCTCCTCGCAATGCGAGAAGATGTCGTGTTTGAAAATCTCAAAGTTGACGTCATGACACATGCATCGCGGGCCACAGACTGGAGTCGTAGGGCTGAACGACAACCAAAACCCGCTGTGACAACAAACACAGCACAACACCAAACATCCCAGCTGGTTGGGACGGACAACGATAGGAGAACTAGGGCGGCGGGTGATCTTTTGTAAAAGACCGTACCACAAGATTGTGGTAGTGGGTATCTTTTAACTAAATAAGTAGTTGCACCCTGCATCCGGCATTCCGTTGGTATTATACACATTCACCCACTACCAATAGCCACTGAAGTCTCACAAGACAGACCGGCCCGACCCCGGAGCAAGCCTCCACTTCTCGCCGCCGTCCACCTCCACAACTCTCCCTTCTCGCTGCAACTTCCGCAAAATCTGCACGACCCCGCCCGCCGCCGCCGGGTGCAAGCTCTCGGGTACATCCCGGTAGATGCTCCGAACCACCTCCATCACCGTCCAAGCATCACCCCCAGACCCATTCCCAGTCACCACCTTCCCACTCCCCTCCCCCGCCGCCACCGCGGCCGCGTCCGCGCTGCCCAAAGCCGAACGGAGCGTCTGTACAACCTGCTCCTCTCGCTGGCCGCGGTGGCGGATATACTCGGCAATCTTGCCGGGCCCGTCGAGCAGCACGGGGCCGTGACCCGGGTAGGCCGTTGCGGTTCCCTCCCGGTCCCCATACAGCCGGCGCATGCGCTCCAGACTAGCAACATACGTCGCCAGATCCTCAAACACGCTCGTGCCATGGCCCAGCACATTGTCCCCCGTGAACAGCGCCCCGCGCTCCGCCCAAAACAGCACCATATGGTCCGCCGTATGCCCGGGGGTATGCGCCGCCGTCAGCGTGGCGCCCTCCACAGAGAACACCTGCCCGTCCTCCATCGCCGCCTGCCCGGCCTCAGGCTGGTGCTTGTGCACGGGGGTGCCGGGCCACTCGGCTAGCAGGCCGGCGACGCCGCCCGTGTGGTCGTGGTGCCAGTGCGTGAGCAGCGCCGCCGCGAGCGTCGCCCGCTCCTCGCGCAGCACCCGCCGCAGCGCCGCCAGCCACGATGCCCGGCCCTCGCCCGTGTCGATCAGCAAGCGTGAGGCGCCCGTGCCGACCAAGTACGTGTTGGTGCCCTGCAGGGTGAACTTGCCCGGGTTGCCGCCTAGGATGCGGATGCACCCCGGTGCGAGGCGCTCGACTTCGGGGAGCGGGGGGAGTGGTGAGGGTTGGGTGCTGCTCATCTTTTTGTTGTTGGGGTTGTGGTTGAGGGGGGGCCTGAGTTTGTGGAGGAGTGGCTGCAGGAGCGGGCCGGCCGGGTGCAGGCGCATCGGTGGGTGGCTTTGGCGGTTCTCTCGGTTAGAAGTTGGGGAGGTACACTAAGTATGTAAGGATTATATCCATTGCGTGACGACGCGGGGTTGTGGTGTCTGGGCGAGCTGCGGGGTACATTTATTGGCATCGGTTTCGGTTATGTTGTTGCCGAGCTTAAGAACACTGGCTAGCTGTTTGCTGGCATGTGCTCCAAGTACGAAGTACCCCATTGTTTCGGTTTGAAGAACTGGCTGTGAGGTACAATGATTCATCGCCTGGAACTCCGGTTAGGATGTGAGAGAGGATCGGGTTATTAACTGCATAGCTAGCATCGGACGGCTTCGATCGTAGGTGTGCCTGGTATCCATGTATCCAGGAAGAGAGGAATGATCGACAGGCACTCTTTGGAAGCGTACCTGGGTGCCGCCAAAATCTTAACGAAAAGAAAGCCATTCGGAAGCCCATAGCTAGTCTACTTTTCATTTGGTTCACCTTCTTTTATTTTGTTTTACTTTACCTCTCTTTTTTCTCTTTAATTCCTTCTCTTTTCCTGGTTCTTTTCTCTTGTTTCTCTCTTTTCTTGGTTTTCTCTCTTTTTTTTTCTTTTTTCCTGGCCAGGGTGACAGGGGCGTACTCCTTAAACAAAGTGAATATTGTAAATAGTTCTCCAAAACCTTAGCTGCAAGTGCCATCAAACTTGACGTCACGATTTGCAGTTGGACAAAAATCTCAATCGGGCATCATTCGACCAGTGCCGAGGCCGGTTGGGGGAGCTGATGAAACCCCTGTCAACGCGCTCCTTGTCCCCGTGTCCCCGTGTCGCGGCCCCCATTTAGCGCCCGAGCTGAAGCGCTCCACGCCTGCCGATAAGCCCTGGTGGTGGGCTCGATAAGCAATTTCCAGCCAGCCGAAGCCGCCTCAGCCAGGAGGCAGTTGGACACTGTTTCGGCGATGCGACAGCAGTCGATTTCGAAGAGGTTAACTAACATTCAGACTTCCTATTGCCACAGCCCAAATCGATTGACGTAAGTGTGGAGCCCATTGTTATTTTTCCGCAACTTGCACGTGAATATGTTCTGATCAGGCAACTAGGGTACCTATTCTTCCTGGCAAACACTCGCGTGCGGGCTTCGCCTCCGACTCCCGTACATACACCAATCTTCAACACTCTATAGATATCGTTCGCAACTCCTGAAGCACAACGCGTCCGCTATCCCAGCCGCATTTTCGAGACTCATTCCGCCAATTGCAAGATACCGTCTCCTCGCACGCTCCATCGGCTCCCAAAAGCAATCGAACCGTGCATCGCAATTACTCGCGTCTCGAGCGACACCCACGAAACGGTCGAAAAACGATCCTCCCACGAAGAACCCCCCTTACGGCCGAACTTTTCCGACTTCCCCTATCCAACAATTCTCAAAATGTCGGCAAGACCTGCGACACCAGCGTCGCCCAAGAACCACAAAGTCAGAGCGCCCCAACCAGGGCAGCCCATGTACGGTTGTGGTAAGCTGTTTCGGTTTCCCAGCTTGCGGTTCTCTTCTGACAGCTGCAGAACACCTACAAAGACTCTTCAATCAAGATCAGGCGACTACAAATACGTCGATCCAACATTACCGGTCAATCCTTCGGAGCATCTTCGATACGAACCCTCTGATCCCGCAAACTGCCAAGACCATCGACGGGCAGATTGTCACGTCGCTGACTCCGACACACCTATGTCTCCAATGCCCCTCAACCCTTACAGAAGATGATCGGGCGAGACATGGGACCAAGAAGTCACACAGGTTCTGTATGTTAGCGTCGCCCATGGTGTTGGTCGTAATAACCGGGTATCCACGGCTCACTGACACGAACACAGATGTGGAATCCAGGAGCGGTGCTTTGTACTGCCAAATGTGTGACGATATTGTCTGGGACCCTACGTTCGAGGAGCTCAGGTTAAAGAAGATTGGAACAGGTACCTTCTCATGTACGCTCGCCTTGAACCGGTGCTAGTGGTTGCCGTCGCTGCAGTGTTCTGACTTTCTTGCAGTGCGGAAACGCAAACATGAGGAGCTATTCGAGACATCGGATCCTGTTCGGGACAACCCGGCGTACATCTCGTCAAACACAACAACGGCCTCTTGCAAGTCCAATGGCCTGCGGGGCATCTACAATGCCGGTGCGACCTGTTACCAAAACGTCGTCCTCCAAAGTTTCCTTCATAACCCCATCCTCCGCAACTTCTACCTCAGCGACGGCCATTCTAGCAGCACTTGCAACGTGGAATACTGCTTGAGCTGCGCAATCGACGACATGTTCCAGGATTTTTACTCGCTTGAGAACACCAACGGGTATACGGCGGCGAGCATCCTGTCGGCATTCTGGTACAACCAGAAGAAGGCCTTCGAGATCCTGGTGGCGACCAAGGAGCAAGACGCCCACGAGTTTTTCCAGTTTTTGGCAGAGGAACTGCACGAACGCAACGGCGACGGAAAGAAGCCCGAGAGCGGCAGCGAACACAGCTGCAACTGTATAATCCACCAAACTTTCTATGGCAAGCTGCAGAGCACCACAACCTGTCAGAACTGCAGCGGCGTGACGCATCAAGTGCAGAGCTTCCTGGATCTCAGCCTGCCACTGGAAAATCTCTCGCACAAAAAGGGCAAGAAGTCTGCGTCTAGAGGGCTGCTGACATTGCAGGAATGTCTTGACGAAGAGTACATCAAGTCAGACAAGTGTGAATACCGCTGCCACAGCTGCAACTCCATGCAGCAAGCCCGTCGGCAGACTAGCATCAAGCGGTTGCCAAATGTCTTGTCGATCCAGCTGAAGGTAGGAAGAGCCCCGCTGATGCCCTAGAGGTAGATGCAGTTATGCTAACCGCCGCGCAGCGGTTCGAGTACAAGCAAGGTCGCAACGAGCGCGCTGCAAAGATCGACACGCCTGTGCAGTTCCCGCTCGAGCTCAATATGCTTCCCTACACTAACCGGGGCCGTTCTGGCGGCTCCGACGCCGGCAAGGACAACTACGAGCTCGCCCGCTCATGCACCTACGACCTAGTCAGCGTGGTCGTGCACGTTGGCGAGATCGACACGGGCCACTACGTGTCGTACTGCAGGGTCGGCGACCAAGTGAGTGTCTACCCCATTACTCCTACTTCGCCTTCCTCCTCTATCTCCCCTTCCGATCCTGATGCCATCCCTATCTCTATTGAATAAGAGGCTAACAAGTGGATAGTGGTTTGCGTTCAACGACCACCGCGTAGAGCTCGCGCAGAAGTCAGATGTGCTCAACGCGAAGCCGTACCTGCTTTTTTACGTCGTTCGGTCCTTATCGTGAGGCCAAGGGACATAATGGCTAACTAGGCGTTTCAACCGGGTCTTTTCTTTCTGGTTGCTTTTGTAATTACTAGATACCGGGTGGTTTTCGTCTCTTTGCCCGGCGGATAGGATTATGCCGCGCATGGGATTTGCTTTTTCTGTCACTCGGTGGCAGCGGAGGGTGTTATGGCGTCGAGGGAGGTTGGGTTTGATTTGGGGAAGCATGGGACAACCTTTTCTGCACCGGACGGCAGGCGGGCAGTCAGGCAGCGTAGATACTCAATCTAGGTAATTTATATGGGCGTTATAAGGGTCAGCCGCTATCTCTATTTGGTCGTCCTCCATCCTCGCTTCTTTCCCCTTTGTACCGTGTCCCATTTTGAGTACTATAACCATAATGAAAGTATGCGCCCATTGCGCATGGCCCGTATCTATGCCACGCCCGCCTTTTCTACCACATTGCCCCCTAAAAAAGATCGTCTAGAAAGATAGATCCCCTCATCTCTTCCCCTCCCCAACCACCCAAACCACGCAACTAACTAAACACGCTTCCGCCACCCCCAACTCGACGACTCAAAGTTAGCATAGCAGTAGAACTCGTTGCCCAGCCCGCGCGCGTGCACGGGCTCGTAGTCGGTCGTGCGCAGCCCAAACGCCCGGTACACCCGCGTCACCACGTCTTCCATGCGCTCGCCCGTGCACACGATCAGTCGCGGTTGTTGTTGTTGTTGCTGTTGTGGTTGTTCCTGGTCGGTGTTTGGTGAGAGCGGGCGTGCGAGCCAGCGGACGGTGAGTGCCGCTGGAGGGAGGGGAGAGAGGGGTGGAAGGTTAGCTTTTTGGGGGGGGTTGATCATGGTAGATGGCAGGGGTTGGGATGGTGTTGGGAGGTGGGAGGGTGGTGGGATACGTACCTTTGGTTTGGCAGTCTTCGCTGAGGAATGGCGGATCGCAGATGATGCGGTCACAGGTGCCTTTGAGGCGGTCTTTTAAGCAGCGGGTGGATGTTCAACATAACAGTTCGATCCTGGCATGGCAGGAAAAATAAAAGGGTAGGTAAGGAGACAAACCTGGTAACTTGAGCGGTTCGGCAAAGTCGTAATATACGAATTCTGGGAAGATGTTGAAGCGCCTGTCGTGCTCGAGCAGGACCACCTTAGGCTTGGGCTGTTCTGGAGGAGCAGCGTTCTGGGCGTGGCCGTCAGTGATCATGATTTGGAAGGTATGGTGGGAGAAAGGGTATAGAACCCATGGGGACAGCAACTCACCAAGATGTTCTTCACTGCCATAAACACACTGGGTGTTGAGACCACCGCCACCGTCATGTCCGACGTGGCTCCCTCAAGCATAAGCTTCGCGTATAGCTCGGCGGTTTCGTCCGCATACTGCATCAATCATCATTAGTGCCATGCAACCCCCTTTCTCTAGTAGAGGTTGAATCGAGGGGCTAAGAAAAAAGGGGGGAGGCAAATCCCCTTTCCCATTCGACCCGACCAAAAAGAGAAGGCGTGGACTGTAGGAGCCGTACCCAGAACTGACTCTCGTTCCAGTCCTCTGTGAACGCATCCATAGATAAGGGCTTCACCTCAACCTCAACCTTGTCGATGGCTGCGTGGATCGCCTCGGCCTGCACCTTGAGCTTCTTGAACTCCTCGGCGCGGGCATCACGCTCGGCGTAGAACTCCTTTAGCGCATCGAGGGTGGAGGCGGGGAGCGATCTGCATAGACTGATCAGTATTGTCGTTTTGTTGTGTTGTGTTGGGAGCACGATACTTACAGCCCGTCGTCGTCACTTTCATGGTTGGTCATTTTGTCCGAATTTAACACTGCCTTGGCGTTCGCTGGGGTTGAGGGGTGGATGTGGTGAAGAAGGCATTTATCGAACTATGTGAAGGAGGGGCTCGGGGGGCCAAGAAAAAGAATTTTAGGGAGTTTTGAGTGGTGGGTTCGACAAGCCATTTGGGTTGCAAATCGGGCTGGATTTTATAGATTCCATTACGGCATGAGTTGCACTAGGACACGAATCTTCAGACGAGGGAAGGCATGAGATCTGTCGGCCTTGGTGCATTCACAGAGAGCTGCCGCACACCCGGCACGACAAGGTAGCCATAACCACGACCACGTGTGCGATTTCAAACCATTCTCATGGACCCTTGAACTAATAAAATAACGTTTAGTTACAACGGTACCTATATACACTCCACAGTGTCTGGCTTGCCGTTTGAACCCCAGCCCGCCCAGTCGCCCCTTTTACTGGTCGTCAAGCACATGGATGTACTTCTTCTCCTCCCGCTTTTCCCTCTCAGTCGCGGGCGGCAGGTCGTAGAATGCCGACGAACGGAAGCCCTTCTATGCGGGGATTAGTCACATGTAATGCAATACACAGTAGGAACCAAAGTGACGTACCAGGTAATGATAAGTCCACTTGCTGATGTCACTGGGTTCCATGCCGAGATCCTTAAACGTTTTGGCCGTCTCGTCAATGACCTGGTCGTGGAACTCGCGCTCGATCTCGTCGGCGGACATGATGTCCCACCAGATGAAGCGGTTGAGCAGCCCCGCGGCAGGCTTGAGGAGCGCCTTGGGCAGGTTGATGTGTCTTCGCTTCTTGTAGATTTCACGGTCGACCAACTCGGCGATCTCGGCCGTCGAGTATTGCCGCGGGCCGTAGAGCTCGAAGGTCTGGGACGCTGTGTTGTCGTCAAACATCATCTTCTCCAGCGCCTCCCCGACATCGATGACCTGCAATCTGTCAGAAATCAGTGTCGAAATTGCTCGGACGTTGTATGCATACATGCACTGGCCAGTACGTCTCCTGCATGTTGTTCGCCGTGAAAAGGTTCGCAACGCTAGCGAGCTTGAGCAACAGCTTGTCCTCGAAACCGAACATCGGGGCCGGCCGGACAATGGTGGTTTCGGGGAATATATCCCGCGCCACCTTCTCGCCATAGCCCTGCAAACAGGGTTAGTTTCGCTGAATATTTTAACGAGATGTAAGTCAGTAGTTAAGTAAGTAGTTACCTTGGTCGCATAGAACTCGGAAGCCGACTGGGGGTTGGCATTGTACGACGAAACATGGATGAACCGGTCAACGTTGTACTTGGCGACGGCCTCCGCGATCCGCTCGGTGCCCTCAATGTGCACATCTCCGAGGGAGAAGTTCCTGATTCCCGTCAGCCCTCGCATTTATGCTTGTTGCCTCAGCTTTCTCAACTCACTTGGTGGGATAGTTTCGGCCGACCAAGTTGTAGACGACGTCAGAGTGCCGGACGCTCTCCTCGATCGACTGGGTGTTGTGAAGGTCGTATTCCTGGCTTTCATTCAGTGATTGGCCTTCCTCCCTGCCGCCTTGGGTCCCTCACGATGAACACAACACGGCCCAAATCGCCGGTCACCTTGAGATGGCGCTTGGCCATCTCCTCCCGGTACGGTACAATGACGGTGCATCCCTGTCTCGCTGCGGTGTCTTTGGTCAGTCGCGGGGTGAAATTGCCTCTGGTGGACGGTCGAACCTAGCCGGTTGACGATGTAACGGCCGAGCTGGCCGGTGGCGCCGAAGACGGTCGCGGTGTGCCCACCAAGGGAGGAGCTGGAGGCGGGTTCTGTCAGCGAGATTCCGGGCAAGGAGAGGGAGTAACGAACCGGCCGCCCGTGGTCCTGAGAATAGGCTTGCCGGTGCGCGTGATGTGCACATCGGAATGAATGGCCCGGCGCTGCAGTGCGCTTCTAGCAATCTTGGGGGCCGTCGCCCGCACGACGGTCGGCAGGGAGGCCATGGTGGCTGGTGGTGGATGTGGAATCCCAAGGTGGGCGGCGTCGCAGTCAATTGACGTTAACAACGGAGGCTACGAGCTTCATGCAATTCGACCAAGCAATCCATCCCGCCCGCCGGCTCCAAAGCTCCGACCCGCACTGGCCATCCAAGACAAACGTCTGGATGATTGGCCAATAAGAGGGTAAAAAAGAATGCAAGGCAGCTTGAAGGGCACGGACCATGCGGGTAAGGTACGTACCGTTACCAGTAGGCTGCTCCCTGCCGCGTCAAGTGGGAGGATGGCGGGCGGGCTGCAACAGCTCATGCCTTCCACTACCAACTCCCAACATCATCAGCCCCACGATTCCCACCACATTCATACCCGGCGTTTGTCACCGCGACACTTGAACTAAATACGAGCGGACCGAGTCAAAGCTGCAGCAATATTCGATCCCCCGCCCCGAACCCCTCCCACCAATTTCCCAGTCATCGGTGGTCGAATATGAACGTCGACACCATCTCCGACTTCCTCGCCGAGCAACGGGATAGCGCCCCCGATGAGCTGCAGCACCTCGTGCTCGAGTTTGAGACACTATGGGAACGCAAGCTATGGCACCAGCTCACCAACCAACTGATCGAGTTCTTCAACAACCCAGGTAGCGCACCGCAGCGCTTACAGTTCTACAAGGTCTTCGTCCTCAAATTTGCCGATAAGATCAACCAACTCAAGCTCGTCGACCTTGCGTTGAAGGCAGCTACACAATGTAGAGGTACGCGACCTTTCTGCAGGTCATTGCACGGCGTTTTCTAACCTGAACAGACAACCAGGAGCGGCTCTCCTTCATGGAGGCGGTCGTTAAGAAGGTGGATAACGAAGAGTCACAGGACGCTTTGGTATTCGCCACAATTGCGGTGGCCCGCGTGAGGCTTGACCTCGAGGACCTCGACGGCGCGAGGAAAGACCTAGACCGGGCCGAGCGGGTTCTCGACAGCTTCGACTCGGTTGAGACGATCGTGCACGCGGCCTTCTACGGCGCCAACGCCGACTACTACCAGGCCAAGGCCGACTTTGGCTCGTACTATCGCAACGCCCTCCTCTACCTCGCCTGCATCGACATCAAATCCCTGTCCCCCGCCGAGCGGCGCAGCCGCGCCTACGACCTGTCGATCGCCGCGCTGGTCAGCAGCAGCATCTACAACTTCGGCGAGCTGCTGCTGCACCCGATCCTGGACGCGCTCTCGGAGCGTGAGGAAGACAAGTGGCTGCGCGAGCTCCTCTTCGCCTTCAACCGCGGCGACCTGGCGGCGTACGACGTGCTGGCGAACCACATCAAGTCGAACCCGCTCCTGGCCCAGCACGCCCGGCAGCTGCGCGAGAAGATCTACCTGGCGGCACTGACCGAGGCCGTGTTCCGGCGCCCGCCGCACGACCGCGCCATGACGTTCGCCACCATCGCGGCCGAGACCAAGGTGCGGCCCGACGAGATCGAGCACCTGATCATGAAGGCGCTCAGCCTAGGCCTGCTGCGCGGCACCATCGACCAGGTCGACGAGGTGGCGCACATCAACTGGGTGCAGCCCAAGGTGCTGGACATGAAGCAGATCGAGAACATGCGCGGGCGACTAAAGGAGTGGGACTCGAGCGTCAACCAGCTGGGCAACTGGATCGAGACCGTGGGGCAGGATGTGTGGGCGGCATAGATGATGGGGGAGGGGGGTGAAAACAAGACAAAATATCACGGGCACGTACAACCATACATGAATGACATGCCTTGTATGATAATAGACTTGCCGAGTCTAAATGACAAACCATGGGGCCGCGTAAAGCCACCCATCGGAATCCAATACTCGTTCTCTTTGTGTGTATGTTTGAACGCCATGCTCTTTGTATGGGTATCTTATCCCCTTCCAAAACATCTTCTCCTTTCAAAAAAAAACATTCCTTCAAAACCCCCAGTTTGTCTTTCATCTCACTCTCCCAACATCCCCCATCCCCCCCCCCCCCCCCCCCCCCCCCCCCCCCAAAAAAGCGAAAAAAAAGGACGGAGGTGTTTTCTTTTACCGCCGTTCTCCTCCTCCCCCCCCAAAGAGAGAGAAAACTCCGCGCGGACCCGCGGGGGCACCACCACCCCCCACACACGGGGGGGGAAGGAGGGGCGACACACTGCTAGGGGAGGGGGGCCTCCCCACAAAGGGGGGGAATACGCTGGCCCACAAAAAAGGAGCCGCAGAAGAAAACCGCGGTGGGGCTAAGGGGTTTAAAAAACACAGGGGCGGGTGTCTTGGCGGCGGGCGAGCGGTACGGCTGGACGAAGGACAGCGGCGCGGCCAGCAGGCCCGTGATCATGGCCAGCGAGAAGTTGAGCGTCGCGAGCGTCGACAGGAACATGCCGAGCAGGAGCAGCGAGAAGGACTTGATTAGGTTGTACTGGTGCGGTGTGGCTGGTGTGGCGGGCAGGGTGGTGAGGAGGTGGGACAGGGCCGGCGGAAGGAGGATGTTGAGGAGGGCGAAGGTTGCGAAGAGAGGGGTGAGGGTCTGGGTTGGGTTAGTGGTTTGTTTGGGATGTGAGTGGGGAGAGGCCGGCTTACGCTTTCTGGGACATGGTTGAAGAGGTAGAGGGGAACAATGGAGAGTGACTGGAGCAGCGCTACGACGCCCAGAGGGAGGAACAAGTCGCGCTCGACGGCGGTGGGTGAGGTGGTGGTGTCCAATTTGTTGGTCTTGTCACTACTAGACGATGTTGCGCCTGCTGCCGGTTGGCCACTCTTTACCCAAAGCGCAATAGCCATGATGGTGAAGTTGGCGGCCACCAGCATCGCGCTGGGCAGGTAGGTACCAATGCTGACGAAGCGGTCAGTCTGCATAAGCAGGTAGAAGAAGAAGCTCTGGTGCAGGTGTTCGAGGAGGTTGTTGAGACTGCGAAACGAGCCCTCGACCACTCGGCCCATAGCCATCTCGTCCTGCCAGCCCTGACCAAACGGTTGTAGCGTCACGGCGTCGACGTGATAGGGGATAAAGCTGCTGTGGGCACCGCTGGCCAGTCCGAGGCCCTGCTTCAGCATGCCACGCAGCATGGTGCGCAGTCGGTCCGGGTATCCGCTATCATGATGCCACATCTCCTGTAACGCGATGTTGATCCCCATCTGGCCGCCCGCGATGTTGACGATCGAATTGATCAAATCCAGATTCGGCAGCTGGCCGTTGACGCCGTCATAGACGACGTGCACCCTTTCGAAGCGGCCCTCCTGGGCGTAGTCGAGGGCAATGGCACCCTGGAGCAGTCCGGATTTGAGCGGTAGGCTGGAGACATGGGAGGGGTCGTGGGCGTCATGGTAGGCATCGACCCACGCCTGCGGGCCAGCAATGCTGTCTGGTGTAAGCACCAGGATGATGTCCTTGGACCACAGCGACCAGCGCTTGAAATAGCGCAGCAGCGTCAGGGCGAGGGGTATTCCATTCCTGTTGATCTCTTGCTTGACGTTTTCCCAGGCGGCCACCAAAACGATAGCCTCCGTGGCATCACCTCGCGGTGCTTGTAGGATGGCGTAAAGGTTCTCGCCCGAAAAGTCGTGCCCTGCGGCGTGGTATGTAAAGTTCTGCCGAGCCGTCTTCAGACCGAGGCCCTTCACGATAGGCTCGAGCTTGTCGTTGATTTCGGTGTTGCTCTTGCCCACCACCTCGTTTACCTCGTGCTTGTACGCTCGGAACACATTCTGGTCACTGCCGCCAAAATACGTGTGGACCTGGCCCGGAAGGAGGGCATTTTCGGAGATGTATGTCTTGCGCGAGTACCTGTCGAGAGGAAGTAGGAAGAGCCAGGCGACACCGACGAGGATGCAGAGCAGCGACAAGTATGGCGGGAGCTTCAGGATACGCGGATCGCGCCGTAGCCGCAGTGCACTAGCTACCATCGCATTAGTTGTTTTTCTCCAATGCCGCAGAAATCGAATTGGACAGATGCCTACCCAGTAATCGCGGCATCTTGGCTGCAGTCCCGAAAGCGCTCGAGGGCTGCGGCGAATTGTGCGACTTGTGTTGCACCTGCTGTGCTGGCTGTACTGGGGATGAGCCAACGACGCAGTAATCGTCAGGGGAAGACGCACGCGATAACGAGGTAACTCGAGTGTCAGCGAGTCGTGGCGCGCTGTCGAATGCATAAGATGCGGGAGAGCTAGCCGTTTACGGTCAAGCGCAAAACTTGTGAGAGGCCCTCCAGGGAGCACCAAGGAAAGCAATTGATTCGGAGACGGATACGAATAACTACCTAGTGATAGTTATAACTGCAACTTGACAACTTAAACCCAAAGTTGAAGGTCGCTAGTAACGAAACAAAAGTGACGTAGCCATTACAAAGTGTACCCCGTAAACCGAAACCGCTACTCCGTCTAATTACATATCTGCGTCACTCATCAATGTCCCATGCGCTGACGGGCCCCCCAGCCAGGCGCAGGCCTCCAGCCAGGCGCAAGCCAGACAGGCGCAGGCTCCTAGACAGGCGCGGGCCCCAGCCTCTGATTGCTGCCGGTCACACCAGGAGCAACAGTCGGAACCACGTTCGTCAGTGGAATCACGCCATCCCGGCCATACGTCTTCTGGTCCACGCTGACGTAGAAAGATGACCACGACCGCAGTCTGAGCTTCGTCTCGATAAACCGCATGACTACCTCCGGCGGCACGAGGAATTTTAGGTAGCCCAACCCAACTAAATGCGGCCGTTTGTCAGTGTCTATCTTGCCTCTCAAGGACGGGAAGACAAGGAAAATGAATGCATACAAAGATAGCCGACAACCAATCCACAAGCGTGCCCAAGGGCGCTAGAACCTGGCGTCACCAATATGGCAAGTAGCAGCGCAGCAATGGGCACCGTCCAAGTGGGTATGGTAGGCTGACCCCAAATGATGAAGTAGGGTACGGTTGCATTTGCGCGTATAGCTTCGGCCGCATACAGAAGGAAACCCCATATACTGTAAACACGCCCATCCGTTAGCACGCAGTGGTTCTTCCAGACAAACACAGTTGATTATGTTGAGCAGTGTGGCTTACCTAGATCCCAAGATTGGGGTGTTGGCCCCTAGCAACCCCCGCTCAATTACAACATACATCAACGCGGGCACCGTTGAGAATGCTAAACCGACCCGGTCAGCCATTCCGTCTTTCCCTCTCTAGGGGTTAAGGGGAGCACCCACGGCCAAAGAATAGCGCTACCGAGATGAGCGTGCCGTGCTCCTTTTCGAATCGCTCAAGGAGCGGGACGACGCCCAAGAAGTTAATCGTGAGGTGAAACGCATCGATGTGCATGAGAGGGTAGGTATTGGTTCGATACACTGTCCACGAGCTAAGGTCAACTTCGTATTCTTCTCTGGGCCCAAGACCACGCCACCCCTGAAGAGCCGTCGACGCGAAGGGGGGAAGGGGGCGTTGGAAACCCACGTGTTGAGAAGTTGACGAGATCCGGCTCTAGCCGGCCCCAAGATTTGAGCCTCCACCCCGGCAACAAGGCGGCAGCTTCAATCGCGACCATTATGCACATTACAACTTTCGTGAAGATCGGTAGATGATCGATGTAGGACGTGGTCCGCTGCAAGCCGAGCTTCAGCATGTGCGTCGGGTTGCTCGGCATCTTGGCTGTGTGTGTTTAAAGCCCCTTGTTTCCTTGTGTGTGTGTGATTGTCTAAAGATCTTGGTTTCCAAAGTTTTCTATACCCCGTGTATAAAAACGCGTCGTAGGCGGAACGAGGGCGCGATAACTTGGCCTGGTCGGTCCGCTCGGCGAAACCGTAAGGGATAAGCTCCTCGGGAGGACTATGGTATTGTGTTTTCTATTCGTCTCAATCGTCAATCTGTCGTAAAAAAAAAAGGGATGGTACGAATACGTCAAATTGGATAGAAGTCAAAAATGGAGTGTGCAGAAGCATTCCTACTCCCACGTAGAAATTGAAAATGTAAGAAGTCATCGATGGAGCTGTCATGTCGCCGCAAAGTTCAACCAACAGCATCCACAACCCCGTCACCCTACGCTTGCCTTATCGGGTCGCCCGCGGAAAACTTGTGTGGAGGATTTGGAAGTCCCGATTACTGCATAGTTACATGGTTTCTTGCAGGGATAACAAGAACCCCGCCATCCTGCCCCCACCATGACATGTGAAAGGCCGAGTTAATCTGTCTGCTGTGCTGGCGTTTTTGGATCTATGCATGGATCTATCTAGACTGATAGAAAGTGGAATAGGTATCGTGTTATTCCCATGGAATCTCATTCAGAGATGCCAGGACATACCGCAAACAGCCCACTGGCATAGGACGTCGAGAAGCTTCTTCACAAACAATACATTCAAATGCAAGGCCCATGACTATACATACAAATGAGAAACAGTGCTGCGGATTACGCCAATTCCGGTAATCCCATGAACCCGCCAACCCACAAATCCCTGCATGCCGCTCCGTCTTCCATCTTCCGGCTCCTTGCCTCACAGTCTACTTTGGTATATGTTTTAGTTCTTGGCGTTCTTGGCCATAGTGTTAAGCGCGCTGCCGTTCTTGAACCACTCGAGTTGGCCCTCGTTGAAGGTGTGCGACAGCTTGATGTCGAATGCCGAGCCGTTGCTGGGGTGCACGCGCATGGTGATGGGCTTGCCGACGGCGAGCTCGGTGCAAAGGATGTCGACCTTGTCGTCGGGCTGGATTTTGTCGTAGTCGGCGGGGTCCGAGAAGGTCAGGGGAAGCATACCCTGCTTCTTCAGGTTGGTCTCGTGGATACGGGCGAACGACCGGGTGATGATGGCGAGACCGCCAAGGTGGCGGGGCTCCAGGGCAGCGTGCTCACGAGAAGAGCCCTCGCCGTAGTTCCAGTCTCCCACGACAACCCACTTGATACCCTTGGCCTTGTAGTCACGGGCAACAGCCGGGACGGCGTCAAAGGCGCCGGTGGTCTGGTTCTTGACCTTGTTGGCCTCGCCGTTGGCGGCATTGATAGCGCCGATCAGCAAGTTGTTGCTGATGTTGTCAAGGTGACCGCGGTACTTCAACCAGGGGCCAGCCATCGAGATGTGGTCGGTCGTGGTCTTGCCCTGGGCCTTGATCAGAATCTGGCAGTCTGTCGCGTCCTTGCCGTCCCAAGCGCTGAACGGGGAGAGGATCTGCAGGCGGTCGGAGCTGGGCGAGACCTGGACGCTGACGGCATTGCGGTCCTTGGGCGGGGCCTGGTAGGTATCCTGGCCGGGATCGTAGCCGTTGGCAGGCAAAGATTCACCGGTAGGAGCGGCGAGCATGAACTCCTTGCCATCCTTGTCCTTGAGCTTATCGGTCAAGGGGTTGAAGCTGAGAGTGCCGGCAATCGACATAGCCACGACCAAGTCAGGAGATGTGACGAAAGAGTGCGTAGCAGGGTTGCCATCGTTGCGGCCGGTGAAGTTGCGGTTGTACGACGAGATGATAGAGTTGGCCTCGCCCTTCTTGACGTCGCGGCGGTCCCACTGCCCAATGCAAGGGCCGCAGGCGTTGGCCAGGACGACACCACCGAATTCCTCGAATGTGTGGAGCTGGCCATCACGCGCAATGGTTGCGCGGATCTGCTCGGAACCCCTGAACCAATCTGTCAGTCGGCTGCCGTTCCGGAAAGTTGTAAAGGAACTTACGGGGTCACGAAGAACTCAGACTTGGTCTTGAGACCATGGTTGAGAGCATCACGAGCGATCGCGGCAGCGCGTGACATGTCCTCGTATGAAGAGTTGGTGCACGAGCCGATCAAACCGACCTTCAACTCCTCGGGCCATCCATTAGTCTTGACGGCCTCGGTGAACTTGGAAATCGGGGTCGCAAGATCGGGGGTGAAGGGGCCGTTGATGTGGGGCTCGAGCTCGGACAGGTTGATTTCGATGAGCTGGTCGTACTCGGCGCCCTCATCCTCGCGCAACTCCTTGGCGTAGGAGCGGGCGAAGTCACCGATTTCCTTGCGCTTGGTGGCAACCAGGTAGTCGTACATTCGGTCGTTGAAGGGGAAAACGGAGGTCGTCGCGCCGATCTCAGCGCCCATGTTCGCAACGGTAGCTTCACAGAAAACATGTCAGTATGTTTTCAATCTTCTTAAGCTTTGCAGAGGGGCCAGGCGATTGTGTCAAGGCACTAATAGGACTTACCCATGCCGGTCGCAGAGATGCTATCAACACCAGGGCCGTGGTACTCGACGATGGCACCGGTACCACCCTTGACAGTGAGGATACCGGCAACCTTGAGAATAATATCCTTAGGGGCAGTCCAGCCGGACATCTGCCCGGTAAGCTTAACACCAATAACCTTGGGGGCCTTGAGCTCCCAAGGAAGGTTGGCCATGACATCCACGGCGTCGGCACTAATCGTAAATGTTAGTCGATTATGAGGACGTCGAGAAGCTCGGTACAACTTACCCGCCCACGCCAATAGCAGCCATACCGAGACCACCACCGTTCACAGTGTGGGAATCAGCTAAAAGGTGTCAGTTCGAGTTCTCTCTTCTTCCCAAATTTGAGGAGTTCAGGGTTGGTACATACTGCCGATGAGAAGACCGCCGGGGAAAGCGTAGTTCTCGAGCAGGATCTGGTGAATGATACCAGAGCCGGGCTTCCAGAAACCGATGTTGTACTTGGCGCAGGCGCTCGCGAGGAAGTCATAAACCTCCTTGTTGATGCCCACCGCACGCTCGAGATCCTTGGCACCGCCGATCTGGGCCTCGATCAAGTGATCACAGTGCACAGTGGTGGGGTTGGCGACCTGAGGCAGGCCAGCACTGATAAACTGCAGAATGGCCATCTGAGCGGTGGCATCCTGGCAAGCGACGCGATCCGGCCGCAGCTTGAGGTAGGAGACGCCGCGCTCAATGTCTTGGTTGTGCGGGTCGTCCAAGTGAGAGTAGAGGATCTTCTCGGCGAAGGTGAGGGGGCGGTTGTTCAACCTTGACCTGACGATCGAAAGGTTCTCTGACATCTTCTTGTAGTTGATGAAGTTGCCCTCCTCCCAGTTGTTTTGTCGGACCTAAACACATATCCAAGCACATGGTTAGCCACCCCTTACCCAATCACAAACATTCCTCTCCCACTGTCTCCAATTGGAAACATACCTTCTTGTCCAGGGGAGAGTCAGTCACGGTTGCCATACGGCGGAGGCCTAGGCTCGCGCTGCCGACAGCGCGGCTCCGGGCGACGCCCAGGAGCTGACGAGAAGCCAACATGGTGGTGGTGGTGGTGACGGTTCAACTCGGCACGAGCGCAAAGAGAAAGTCAATTGGAGTGGAGGGGTTGTCACCCAGGCAGCCTCGCGACAACGACGAGGAAAGAATGGTAGTGGAATTTGCAGACGGGTGACTGCTACGAGGGAGAAAGGAAAAAAAAAAGGTGGAGAGGTTCGAAAGTTGGAGGAGTCGTAGGCGGGATTTTACATCACAGTGGCAACGAGAGGCCGGGACCTGTTGTGAGCTTCCTCCCCACCGTCATAGCCGAGAAAGTACCTCGCCCGGATGGAGACGACCGGCTGGCCAATCAACGAGTCGCCGATTATAACTGCCCGCATTGTGGGGGATCCTTGGGTCGCAGGGCATGACATCGTTTCCCAGCCCAAATCAGGCTAGCCTGTTTCAATGGGGCTTCCGTTCGAACGTCGCATTCCCGATCAAAGCCGCAACTGCGCAACGTTTCCATGTCTGCCCTGACCTCAGCCTTCCTCTCGCGCTTGGCCGCCTCAACCCTGAGTGCCCGTTAACTATTCGTCTAGAAGATATTTTTTAGCACCGCTGAAGCCTCACTGGCCGGACCCCGACTTCTCTACCTACCAGCAGACGCTGAGGCGGGCTTGTTGGTTTTCAGTGACAGACAGGGGTACAAATATCGAGGTAGGCCCGAGAGGCACGAATAGCCGAGGCAGCCCTGGTGAGATCCCTCCCTGGTGTCCACCGAACTGCTAGCCTCCATTTTTAAAAATGGTGGGAGGGGCATGTTGTTTTGCCATTCATTGCGTCTTTTCTCCCACTGCATGCTACGCAAGGGTTTTAGCGCGGGGCTTGGATACCCTGATACTCCCGGGGTAAGAGAGAGCAGGGTATCCGGACTTGTTGATGACATGTGCTTCATGTGCCCCCCAAGCCCCTCGCGTGCAAACACTCCGGGCGAGCAAACCCCAGGGGTTGTAAACAGGCACGTAGCTATGTTATTTTTGTCTCGATAGATGCCGAAACCAGTCTAAGATCACACGGGCTTCATCTCTTCACTCGTTGCCGCCGGGAACTCCCACATTTTCCAGCACATGGGTGCGGAAACTGGCTTGGACTTCAACCCCATAGCTTACTGTGTCGTTCTAGGTTATGCAACTGGCCAATACCGGGAAGCTATCTGTCAATTCAGGAGGCCAACCGTTAATTTGAACGAATTACTGGCGTGATACGTCCGATGATTGACATCACCAACCGCGACATGCGTTCACACCGCGGGGTTGGTACGCCAGGCCGTTATGCAGATTGGAGGAATTGACCATACGCAACCTGCAGGGCTAAACTGTGACGCAACCGGTCGACGATCTCTGCGTATTTCTGGTTCAAAATCTGAAGAATCCTCCAAACCGGCAGCAAACCCGATTTGCATCCCCGAGTTGCTTCAACTCTCACCATCCCATGTGGTGTTGAAGTCGGTTCTCGATCGCATCCGAGGCGGATCCGTCTGAATTCGAGAACTGCGGGTCCTTGGGCCGTTTCGTGAGGCATCGGGCACAAGGAACCTGGAAATTTCTGCTGGCCTGGAGACCCTTGGAGTGGGGCCGTGTATCGGCAGGGGCCCGACTCGGCGCCTCGAAGCTCGGTCGGAAATGGAGATCCGAGGGCGATAACCCCGTACCTCCGGCTTGGGCCGGTCGCAGAACGGCGGCCTTCCGACGGCGACAAAGATGAGGAACTGATCAGGATGGTGGCGAGATAGAATGGCTTAATTGTGCTGGTCAAAATTGATGGCTAATATCGGCTTGCAGCTGCAGTTTTGTTCGTGCGTTTGTGCACATGTGTGATATATCCGCATAAACTTCGGCTCTAGTTAGTGAGTTTGGCGACGTGGGGGACCAAAAATTGCTAGCAGAAAACTTACCCCACTAAAAAGCAGACCTCACCATACTCACACCACCAGCAAAAACAGACTCAGAAGACCCCGGCTGAGTCCATTAGCCAAAGCTTGAGATTTGGGTGCCGATTTACCTCATAGCAACAATGGGGGTTTTTGCAAAGAGAACAAAGACAAAAACACGGAGACGTGTTCGGTGAGTTCCCATATCAAACTCTACAACGCTCGACTAACGTTAGTCCAGCGACGTCGATCAGATCAAGGCCGATCTCTTGTCCCCTAGGCATCTCCAGCTATATAAGGAGACCAAGGCGGCCGAGGACCTGCCCGGCTTTGGCCGTAATTACTGCGTTGAATGTGCCAAGTGGTTTGAGACCGACTCGAGTCTGGTTCTTCACAGAAAGGGAAAGCCTCACAAGAGGAGGTCCGTATACACCCACCACCTCTTTGTTAATGTAATCCCCTAACACATGATCTCAGGCTAAAGCAGTTGCGCGAAGGGCCTTACACTCATGAGGAGGCGGCTGCTGCCGTAAGCTACAGGACAGACAACGGGCCCGAAAAGACAAAATCTCAAGAGATCGAGATGTCATAAACACGCTGTCACCAGCCGGGTGGGCATGTGGCTCCGTCAGTAGATGCTCTTGGGGGGTATTCATATGGCAAGGCGTTCGGGTCGCGGGTATGGGCACATGGCGTCAGGGACGACAGGAGAAGGAAAAGTTGCGCTTGTTTGCTTCATGTCCCGCAAACACAGGCATTTCCAGAAGCTCCCAAGGCGGATATTGTTTCTTACACAGAGTATAAAGCGAGTTAGTCACCTGGAGACGTCTCAACGCTCTAGAGGGACATGCAGCAGTTTTCACATATATTTAAGATAAGCCGAACTCGCGGACATTGATATGAATCCAAGTTCACTCCATTAACAGCGCTTCGAGCCGTCCATTTTCTCAAAATATTGTTTTCTCAGCGTCACCTGAATCTTTCATTCCAAGAATTGCAAGAATTTCCCGTTCGCAGCAGTAGTTGTTCCACTCTTTGTCTGACTTTGATGTGAAAATAACTCCAACCTCTCGAGGAACTTGTTAACCTTGGTTATTTCCCTTTTAGATGCTTGTAAATTGTAAATCGGGGAGTTGCAGAAAAAGAGGTAGTCAGTAATGTCGCATTGGTGGAAGGCAGGCTAGTGGGGTCCCCTTGGCTCCCGGCACCCTTGTTGGCGAAATTGTTAGCGTCGCGGCGCCCAACACCTCCCTCGAAGTCGCCTCGGTACGAAAGTACGCGATGACCACTTCATGCTTTTTGCAAGCTGGTTCTCGCGCATCTCAAATTCAGTACCGCAAGCCATGGGCTCAACAGCATACGCAGCGTACAAAAATGGCGCTGCCAATGCCAGCAGCGCGCACACTGTCACAGCCATGAGCAGGTGGTCAGTCCTCGACAAACAGCTGCCGCCCATCGATAGAATCAGGGCGATCCATGTCTATGATTTTGACAACACGCGTATGCCCTTTTCAATATGATGTTTGTGTGACGCGGGCGTAGGCTAACCCATTTGCACCGCGTCCACAGTGTTCAAGACCCCTCTCCCGAATCCCAAGCTCTGGAACGGACCGACGATTGGAATGCTATCGAATCCCGATGCCTTCGTCAACGGCGGGTGGTGGCACGATTCGCGCATCCTCGCCGCGACAGGCGAGGGCCTTGCTAAAGAAGAGCCCCGCGCGTGGGATGGGTGGTGGAATGAGAAGATTGTCGAGCTGATTCACTTGAGCAACAAGCAGAAGGATGCGGTCTGTGTCCTGCTCACGGGGCGCTCCGAGTCGGGCTTTGGCGAACTGATCAAGCGCATGGTCAAGAGCAAGGGCCTCGAATTTGACCTGATCTCCTTAAAGCCCTCGGTTGGACCCAACAACGAGCGGATCACCAATACCATGGTCTTTAAGCAGATATTTTTGGAGGCGCTAATGGAAACGTACAAACACGCTGAAGAAATTCGAATCTACGAGGACCGGATAAAGCACGTCAAGGGCTTTCGCGACTTTCTAGATGAGTACAACATCAGGAAGCTGAACGGGATGGAAGGCGCGCCGACCCGAGGGACCATCAATGGCGAGGTCATCCAGGTAGTGGACATAGCCACGTTCCTCGACCCAATTGTTGAGGTGGCTGAAGTACAACAAATCATCACCGACCACAACGCCGCCCTGTCTAAGCGGCGGCGCGGCAGCAAAGGCGAACGCTTTGCCATCAAAAAAACTGTCTTCTACACAGGATACATGATCAACAACGCTGACACGCAACGGCTACTCACTCTCGCACAGACTCCTCAGAACTTGTCCGAAGGCGACATCAAGTTTCATGCTAACAACATCATGATTTGCCCTCGGCCCTGCCCGCCCGGCATCCTAGAAAAAGTTGGCGGAATGGGAAACAAGATGACCTGGGAGGTAACTGGCACAGCCAACCTCGAGAACTCCATCTGGGCGGTGTGCGTCAAGCCCGTGCCCGCCACGGCCAAGTTCCACACGGGCGACCCGGTCCCGCTTGTCGTGCTGGCCTTGCGTAAGGGCGCACGACACGCCGAGGCAGGTAAGATCCAGAAGTGGCAGCCCGTGACGCCGGACAAGGCCTTCCGTTTCGAGACCACAGTGGGCGAGAAGATCCTTCTGCGCATCGAAAGCGATGGCCCATCTCAGCACGGTCCCGCCGGCAGGGCGCTTAACAAGCGCAAGCACACCGCTGGTCAGGATGACTTCCGCGCGCGCCCATCGGGTGCCATCCAGCAGCAGCAGCAGCAGCAGCAGCAGCATCCGCAACAGCAGCAACAACACCGGCAGTTCCACCACCAGGGGAACTTTGCCGGCAGCGCTGGCGGTGGTGGTGGTGGTGGTGGTCGCGGAGGCGCTGGGAGAGGCAACTTCCGTGGCGGTGGCGGTGCGGGCCGCGGAAACAAAGGCCAGCGCGGGGGTGCCGCCAAGGGCCGTGGTGGCCGTGGCGGGCACGGCGGCGGCGGGCATCACTACAAATCGCTGGACGACGTCGGTGGGCGTGACAGCCAAGGCGGGTTCGCGCAGATGTACGAGGATGAGCCGCACACCCGGTTCCAGAATCAGAATATCCCAAAAGGGCCGTCTAACCCTGGGAACCCTGGGTTCTATGGCGGCGGCGGCGGCGGTGGTGGCGGTGGCCAGCAGCAGCAGCAGCAGCAGCAACAACAGTTTGGTCGGCCAGGGAATAACCAACCCGGCGGTGGTGCCGGTGGCGGTGTGTCAGAGCTGAATAATTACTACTAAGGAGTGGGAAGTTGTGGTTGGGCTCAGGCGTTGTCATCTGTATTATCAACATACCCCTTTTATCGCTTGTTGCTTGCGGAGGGGCGATCTGGGACGAATATTCGCACAGTCTTGGGTCCCATCTACCATTGTGGGATTTTTGTTGGTCGCGGTTTACCATTCGGCGGGAGTATATATTTGCGTCACGTCTCAGGGCATTTGGAGTTGGGCGGGGAGGGGAAAAGCGGGCGTTTGGCTCGGTCTTTAGGGAGGGGGTTCCTGGTACCCCGTGCCTGCTGGGCTTATCTATGCTGTTACACCTCTGTGTTAAAGTAAAAGTCATTCTTCCTATGGGAAGTCGAGCAATATCATACTTTGCTGCTTGTTTCTTGCTGAATCAGCTAGGGACAGCAGTTGGGCCCAAAGCAGTTAACATGGCTGATCGCCAAAAGTACATATCCAGCTACGAAGATCACGGGATTCATAGAGACATGTTTAGGAGCGGAATCAAAACAAGAAGCGACGAACTTGTCCAGGCTATTTAAGGGAACCATCTAGGGTTTGACAATATCCCTTGACAGCAAATGCTATTTCACAGAGACATGAATGTCCCGAGGTTTCTTGTATTTTTAGGGCCGTCTGTACGTGTATCCTCCCAGCCCATTACCGTCCGTCCATGCATGCCGGAAACTATTAATTTGTATGCCTTGGAGAACAAAAAGTCCCACCCACGCCACAAGCACCACCCATTTCCCGAGGTCGGGATCTTGTAGTAGCAAGACTGTCGTCGTCGTGGTATGGTTAACCCAAGAGCCCTCAAAAGGAAGTACCCTCCCGCATGCCGCGAGCTACCCCCGATAGCCATATGTGCCCACCCGACCGAATGCAAATGTGACATTAGAAGTGTATTACTTGCTGCCGTTCCGAGGCAGCATCCTTCATTTTGTAATGATAACGGAGAAACCATCAAGCCAAGGGCCACAACTGCCTGTGACACCACATATGTTGTAGCCTCTCGGGGGTATCAAGGTATGTCTGGACATCGGTTAGCGGGGACCTCAATGATAACAGAAGAGGCACATACGGGTCACCGCCATGTGCATTCCCAAACAGCGGACTTCTCCTGCCCAGGCTGGTTAAGACTTGGATACCGTCGATCCAAAAACCGGATCGGACAAAAAAGCCCGTGATGTACTCGCCACGCCGGATATCTGTTTTACTCGAGTCAGTAATTGGTCTCGGCCACGGGGAACATGAGGGCGATGCGTACCCATATCAAACACGTCACCGCCCACCTTCCCGCCCTTCTTCCCAAACAACTGCCTCGAGTCGTCATCATACACAAACTCCATCCCGTCCACGGCCGACCCATGGTAAACCACCACCTTCGACAGCACCCGGTCCTGCTTCAGTGCGCTCGTGAACACAACTTCGTGCCCTTCAGACCCCTCCATCTGTGACAAGCCCAGTTTCTTGCCCCTCAGCGCCGCCTTGGGCAAACCAGGTACAGCACTAGGAATCCGCACGCATGTCGCATCCTTGGAACAGAGCTTGTTAAAGTCATCTACCTCCAAGGCGCCGCCTCCGTAGGATTTGACCGAGATCCGCAACCGACTTTTCCTTTTCGCTTCGGAAAGTCTGCCGCGCAAGTCTTGCTCGCTCAGGGAGACGGACCGTTGGACCGGCCCGCCATTATCAGGGGCGTACTCAATCCACGCGTGGCAGACGTCGTCGCCCTCGCTATAAATCTCGACATAAGCTATCCCCGTGGCAGCGGTTACCGTGAGCGTGCCGCCCTCCATTGGCCAACCCTGAACGCTGTCATCCGGGTTCAAGACGGGGTCGTTGGGGAGGCGGAAGCAGGGGTGGCTGCGGAAGTGAAGACAGTCGAGACGATGCCAAGTGCACTCATCTCCCTGGGAGACGGGGCCGCCTTTTGAGTGGGTTCGGGTGGAATACGCTTCACGCGTGAGGAAGGTTCGGTGGAGGGTAACATAGTCTCTGAGCATGACGCCGCTTTCTTGATGAGGTAGGCCAAAGAGATGGCCTGTCTCGTGCAAATGGGCTCCAATTCCAATGTTGGCTGCCTCCCAAGAACTTCCGGCGTCGTTGCAGTCGTTGCCGACGTGGTTGGTGTCGGTTGGCGTGCAGTCTGTGAAGGCCGGCACTATCTCCTCAAAGCACGTTGGATAGCTCTGAAGACAGTGGGATCCGAATATGCCTAGATGCAGGTCACCGGCTCGCCCACCGAGTGCCGCGTGCCCAACGATGGTTTTCGATTCTGTGTCCCAATGTGCGTCTAGAAGCAAAACCGACACGTACAGCTTCTGACCTGGGAGTGGCTTGAAGTAATCTCGCACAGCATCTGCAGTGATGCCGTAGAGACCCCCTGCGTCTGTAGCCTTCGAGTTTTGCTGTGCCAGGTTGAGACTTCGAAGCTCAGCCACTGTTTTTTCGGTCCGAATAATATGCACTCTTGCTTCGGATCGAAGAACACCGTTCTCCCTGTCGCGATGGTTTGCCGCGCCTGTGGTCCATTCCTCCTCAAATCTAAAAGCACGCCGGCCAAGCTTGTTGCGCGACATTTGCTCGGCCGTGAATGCCTGCCACAGGTAGGCGGCCATGCGGAACTTGCGGACCGCAGTCTCTAACCCATTTCCTTCCCTTTCCATTCGCGCTGGTACGGCATCGAAGGTACCGGGGGAGTCTTTTGCCAACATGATCGCCAGTTGTAGCGGAGGGGCGCCGACGGGTGGAATCATGTGAACTGTCAGGTAAGAAGAATGGATAGGGTTGGAAGATCCGCTGTTGGCGAGCTTTGGGCTAGAAAAGTCGAACCGCAACCGGTTGGCGCCAGGCATCAGGTACACCATGGCTTTGAAGCAAGAGTTGTGCACTGGCCAAGATATCGGGGGAAAACTGTCGTCGGGACGGCTCACAGTAAGCGTGCCATCAAGGAATTGGTGAAAGGGTTCGCCGATGGTGCCGTGGACGAGTAGAACCTTTTGGTAGACCTGCTGCTCGTTAGTAACCATATATATAAGCCACGAGGCCCGGGGACCCGAGGGATACTCACCCACGAACTATCTGCCACGTTGGTGATTCGAGGAGAGTACTGAGAAACTGGCAAACTCGGTCCTCGTCCGCCCGGCACCGGGGACCCCAGGCCGATCATGCCCGAAACACTAAGTCGATTGTTGCCGCCATTTTGGTAGAGCTGAGATTGGGGTCTTGAAATAGTAGGAGCGGGGGGAGGCAGCGGTTGGTCTTTGAGTTGCAGGTTTAAAGCCGGATCCGATTGTGCTCCAATCGAAGGGGGTGTCAATGAACCGCTAGTAGGAGTGGTGTTGTTCCCAGCTTCGCTCGATTCGTCCGTCGACCGCTCGGTTCTAAAACTCGCCCTTGATCGTTTTCGCAACTCCTTGAAATTCAAGAAGGAAGGGGCCATGGTTGTTAGTGACCGTAGGTAAGGTAGCCCAGCCCCGTCTTTGGCCTAGAAGAAAGTGGGAGAAACCAGGTGACAGGGGCGTCGCATATAGGGCCCCCGGAAGCGCCTCGAGCCAACTGCAAAGATAACCGTGATCAACACTTTGCGGTGTGAAATGAGCGAAACAGGATGGCGGTAGAGCAAGGTACAGAAGAAGGCTGCGGTGTCACAAAGTGATTCTTGAGGTGGAAAAAAAGCGGCCCTCCTCCCCTGACTTCCCGCTGTCAAGCACGCAGCTAAGTGAATTTCTGAGCGAGCGATGGATGACGTATGTAGTATGTTCAATTGGTTCCTACCGAGCAACACCCTGCCATTGATCAGAGGGTTGTCCGTTGAGCGATAACTATATACCTACTTTGTAGGATTAAGTACCAGGATCAGCTGCCGTGTTCCGAAAGTAGGGCAGCGCAAGGTTTGCCTGTCTCGCCCTCCCAGGCACGTTCCGCCGAGTGTTGGAGGTTGCGCCGAAGCGATCCAGACGAGCTGGAAGATGGAGCCTGCAATGGAGCCGGATGATGGAGCCGAACAGCTGGTCCGTCGATCACAACGACTGGGCAACGATAAGGACCCACGGCCCTAGCGATTGGGAGCGCCGGTTCTTCGACTTTTCGATATTTGTTCCAGATCGAACGGAGAATCGGATGTTGGCGGCGAGCACGCCGAGCAGGGAACTGGAATGTTGGAACCGGGAAGAGGCCAGTCAAAACAAGGAATCCAAATACTGCAACACAAACGCTAGGACGGCAGGACGGCCGGCGAAAGGAAATTCGGAAACGTAGGAAAAGAAATGGGAGAAGTTGGGAGTCGTGCAAGGTCCATGGCTTTGGGGCTTGTTGAGATTTCACCTTGATGGTCTTACCACACAGTACTTAACAGAAAACCTAGGTAACTTCCCGGCCCGGCCCTGACTATTGCTATCTCCACCAAAATAGGAAGCAGTAATCAGCGCAGGGCTGAATACGATGTCGTCAGGAGCTATGATTGAGGGGCCCTTTCCCCTTTTGATCTTCCTGCGGGATGCAAAGCGAAGTCCGAGTCTTTAGCGTTGCAAAAGTTTGCCGCAGGGAGCTGCCAACCCCCCAACACACTCCGTTTGTATTATGGAGCCAATCGCAAAGCATGCCAATGAGATGAATAATGCCATCTCAGGGGATGCATCGTGAGATAAAAAGGCGTGTGCTTCTACAGGCAGTTGGCCGAAAACGGAAAATACGAGGTGAGCCGCCGCAAGGGCGCTAGCGGCATGCTTGCTGGTCTGATCTGTTGCGGCGAGCGTTTGGAAGGGACGAAAGTTTAAATCACACGTCGAGGGTATTCTTGTTGCCTTTGGCCTAGATGCCGACGAAAGCGTAAGTCCACTCTGTAGTTATTCGTAGTTTTTAGTTATTCACTCGGATTCTTTTCTTCAATTTCTTCTTCTTGGTTTCTTTTCCTTTACTTCTTTCTATTTTCTTGGTTGCCTTTAGTTATTCTTTTCGCTTTTCTTGACCGTTTCTCACTTTTGGAGTTTGGCTTTTTTTGGCCAAGGGTGCCTCGGCCTCGTTTGCACTCGCTCTGCGTGCGCTTTGTTACTGTGTACATATCATGTCGTCCATTCAACGCTTTTCGGAGACGCCTAATTGTGACCGCAAAACGACCCACTGGTAACTGAAACTACACTACACCAAAAATGGCACACCCTTCCAGTTTGTTACTTGCCTCGCCGGACTCGGCTGTTGTGGAGCCCCTGACCCAGCTATATCGAGGGAGATATTCGTATGGTGTCGTAGCCCGGGTCACCGCCGGAATCCTCGCAAACGGCACGGCAAGTCTCGCCCGGTTTAAGCTCTGGCTGTTCACTGAGAGCCCAGGAATGCCCGCAGATATTTCGAAGCATCCAATAACTGCCCAATCCCGCTCGAGACTCCATTGCCACTGTTCTGCGGTGGAGTTGTTCACATCGGGATCAGGGAAGAGCTCTGCTCGGTGTTTGCTGGTGGATCAGCTTAAACGGAAATGCTGGGAATGCACAATGCAACCAACAAATTTGCTGGTTTAAAGGACCCCTGGCAGCCTGGCAAGCTCGCCCTGTGCCGCAGGTTGCAGACAGTGGGCCAGTGCTCAGCTGGGTAATCTGCCGGTTTCCACAGGAATGTGAATTTGCTCCTGTTCCTGCCCAGGCTTTCCAACCTCAACTCCTGCGCAACTCTCTTTGTTCCCGTGTTGAAGCGCCGGCGGCTGTGTACCGAATAAAGTGACCAGCCAGGAAGCAGATTGAGGTTTTGACACCACACAATTGCTTGTGGCCGGCAACAAAAAAAGTTTCAACGGTACCTCGACCAGTCCTCGTCGTTCACGGCGGTTTTAGGCGCCCAGCGCTGCAACCATCCAACCCCCCCGAGGCCTCACGCCCACCCCCGACGAACTTGCGCCCCCCGCCATCAGGCCGGTATCGACTTTCTGTATGCCTGCAAAATCATACCATCGGCAAGATGATGTCGTCGCCGTTGAAGAAGCAGCCCGAGGCTGTGGCGGATAGGGTGCTCAAGAGGGCTGAAATCAGCAAGGTACGGTGACTGCCTCCCTTGGCAGGGGTGTGAAGCTGACAAGTACTCATTTTTTTTGCCTCAGATGGCCCGGAGGTTACAGAACCGTCTCGCCCTCGCCCAGTTCAAGACGAAACACAATTTGGTGAACGAGACGCTGGATATGATCGAGCCCAAGTTCGAACAGGAGATGCGCCGCCGACGGTTGCAAGACGGCGATATCCTGTCCGACTCGTCCTCGAGCGCCTCCGACCTCCCATACCCCTCTCGAACACTCATGAGCTCACCGCTCAAAGCGCCGCTGTTTTCGGATGCCATTGGGTCTAGCAACGGTAGCACCGGGCATAGGAAGCGTACCTACCTAGCCTCCTTTGACGACAATGGGTATTCGAGTCCGAGCAAGCGTTTCCGCCAGTCCCCGACGGCACACCGGTCTTTCTCGAGTCACCACCCCTTTACCCAGTCGTCACCGATAAAACCGAGGCGGCAGCAACACTTTACCACTTCAACGGGCCCGGATATATCGTTTTACTCGGGATCAAGGCAAATCAGCGACGTCCTTACTACCACAAATTATGCGGCCCATTCGGATGACGAGGACGACTTGCCCACTCATTCGTTTCACGTCAACCACGTTCGGGTATCGCCGCCTCGAACGCCACCGATGCGAAGCCGTACGTTGATGAAGAAGCCAAAGGACAGGCAGCCAACAGCAAACGAGTCTAAATCTGGCGAGGAAGGTGCGGATCTGCTCTTGTATCTAGCAGCATCACCCTCGCCTGCGAACCCGCCAAGGAACAGGATGGAACCCCCGTCGACACCACCGCCGAAGAACAAGCTGGCGCTACCATCATCGATGATGACGACCCCTGGCGGCGGCAACCCCTATCCGGCCACTCCTGGACTTGGCTTTGACTTTGCTGAATTTCTTCATATGACGCCTAGCCCAGCGCAAAAGCCGTGGAAGACCCCTCTCGCGGGGAAGACGCCGCGCAGCGTGGCAAGGAGACGCCTCACGTTTGACGACATACCATCTTGAAGGCCAGTAGTTGGTTATGTTACGAGGCTGGCTTTCCTGAAGGGTTTCCTGCCCAGCCTACCCCAACCGATTTCCATTCACATTATTCGCCTACTTTCGACTGCGGCGAGGCATGAGACTGTCTTGCGCCATACCTTCTGATACCTTTTTGTCCGGCAACCCGGCTTTTTTCTCGGCTTTATTTTTTTATCTCCCCTTACGTCCTACAATTGGGAGCATCGGCGTTCCGGTTATGGTGGTTCACTCCTATTCACTAATACCACCTTGAGATTGTCAACGATATCACATTACCCTGTCTGTGAGCAAGCAGCGGTACACGATATCCACTAAAATTGCGGACGAGCGAGCAATGCCACCGAGCACGCGAGCTTTGGATCGGCGATTTCCCTTTGTTTACGACTATTTTCCTTGATTTGAGGCGGAACCCAGTTGAGTGGTACGGCAAGGGTCGAGCAGCAGCAGGGATTGAATACCGAGTGTACGACGGATGAGCTGAGTGCGGATGCATTAGGAATTGGGCTTGAGGTCGGCAATGGAGGAGCGGGACATCGAGGGGCGCGGGGACATTGTTGGCTCGGGGCTCAATTGTTGGTTGGAATGGCGCTTGAGTGCTTGCAGGCCAATGAAATTGGTTGCTGGGGAACCCCGCGCCGAGGACGCGCGCCGCGACTTTTCGAGTTCAGTTCGCGTTTCGTGGCGTTGCGCGGCGGGAACCAATCAGATTACTGTTCTGGAATGGGCGGTGGAGCGATTCTTCTCTCGTGGGAGCTGAGCCTGGAACGGGAAGCGCTTGTTGGAGGAACCCCTGAGGCCGTCCTGATGGAGGAGCAATGTTAGCGGCGATTGGAAGAATTGACAATGCATGATGAAAACGTGCATGAAATGGCGGCCTTGAAATAGGTGATGCGTTGGCAAACCCTGAACTCCCTCTCAAGTCCCTCCTCCTAGACAGCCACCCCCCGAGTCAACCCCCCGAATCCTGCTTGGGCCTGGACAAGAACATAGCACAATCGAAAGTGAGACTCGATGCTCCATATTTGCAGGAGACATGTGGCAGAATTCGTAGACTGGGTTTGCAAAGCGAGTGGAAACAATTCGTATTCTCATGCGCAAGCAGAGCTTCAAGACAGTCAAGCGAGTGTCGGGGTATCCTCATTCCTCATCCACACTTCATCCCTCATACCCACGCCGCATTTTCATCCTCAAACGGGAAATTCGCCCTCGACGCCCCTCCTTCACTGGGCATCGGCACCTAACCTAACCGGCCATCAGCTGATATCCTCAAGCAATGAGGGATGCAGGCAGCCATACCTCTCAGACTGACACCCTCAGTCGAGTACCAAGCCTTGTGCATATCCAGACCTGCGGCACTTGATAGGGAGATCAAGCGGCGGTGTCATCCGGACCGACCGACGATAGGACGGAACACCCACACTTCCTTTCCTCCCCTGAGCAGTCACGGCCAACAGACTCAAAAAACAAAACAAAACAAGCAACCGCCACAAACGCCATCCCCTCGCCCATCCATACACACAGCACAACACAAAGCATCAATCAGCCCCCCTAGTCACCATCACATAGCCTTCCCCACACTCCCCAAACTGCCCAAACTACCCCCATTCAGCCTCCCCCCATTAACCCTCCCACTCTCACCCCCACCACTTGCACCACCACCACTTGCACCACCACCACCAACCCACCTCCCCGCAGCAGCAGGCCCGACATCCGGGCCGGGGTCGCTCCAGTCCATGCTGGTACTGCCCCGATTGTCGGCGGACATGGCGCTGACGCCGGAACGAGTACTTGGAGAACTTGGAGTAGCGGGACGAGAAGGACTCGGCCCGGGGTTGCGCGCCCGCGCGGGCGGGTTCATGGCCATCGTCATCATGGGTTGTGTAGGCTGTTGTTGTTGGGAGGGGGAGGGGGAGGGGGAGGGGGTGGATCCGGCAGTGGCGGCTGTGCTGCTTGTGCGGCTGCCGGGGATGACGGGTCTGTTGTTGTTGCTGTTGCTGTTGCCGCCTGCGAGGAGTTCGGGCCGCTCGAGGTCGAAGGGGTCGGAGCGGAATTTGTTGCGCTGGTTGGTGGTTGTGGCTGTGGCCATGGAGCGGAGGGAGCCGGCGCTGTCGCGGTTGGCGTTGCTGTAATTGTAGATTGTGCTAGGTTGGCGGCCGGCGGTGGTGCTGTTGCTGCGGGAGCGGCGGATGTCGGCGACGTAGGTGGTTGGTTTGGGTACAGTGGGGGGCGGGTTGGTGATTGCGTTTGCGTCGCTAAAGGGGTTGGCTGCGTTGGCTTGGCTCACCGCTAGAGGTGCCGGCTTGGCCGAGGTGTGGGCGATGGCGTTGGCGTCGCTGAAGGGGTTGTCGTTGCCAAAGCTTAGATTTAGGCCGCCTAGGAAGTTGTCGCTGGAGTTGGCGCGGCCGTTGACCCGCGCGATGCTGTCTCGTCGTCGTTGCGCTTCGCGGTCGAGCTCCCCGTCATCCATGTTGAGAAGGGTCAAGAAGTCGGGCTGTGAGCTTGAGACCTTCTTCTCCTGGGTAACACCTGGGGGTTTCTCTTGGGCGCTACTGTTGCGGCGGTTGAATTTCTTGCCCAGTCCTGACCACCAATCCTTGAGACGATCCGTCGTGGTCGGCTCGGCCCCGATAATTCCTGAACTGGAACGACTGTGCCTCATGGCGGGATCCATAAATTGAGAAGTTCCCCGGTCCAAGTTCACCGATGGCGCTGTTCGGTTTCTGATATGGCCTCGGATTTTCTTGTAGTTGTGGCCGAGAGCAGCTTTGACCTTCACTGCCACAGGGGTTGGTCCAATACTCCCACGCGAGATCACATAACCGCCCTTCTCATCGCGGTCATAAGATGGAACCACGTCGAGAGGTGTCAGAAGGGTGCTTCTCCTTTTCCTTTGCGCCCGACGCCTCCACCACCAGATGAAGAATGCGAGAACGCTGATAGCGACGACCCCACCAATGACGCCGCCGGCCACTGCCACGGTCGACTGGACCGCATTGTTGTCGGAGTTGGGTATCGCACTCGTTTCTGCATCTGCCGAGGTTGAACCCGTTGAGTCGGCCACTGTGGCGTCGGTCGGCGTCGGCAGCGACTCAATAGTGGTGAGGAGGGGTGTGGCTACCGGGCCCAGTGGTAGGTCAGGAGGGAGGGACTCGGCGGGAGTAGACTCTGACGAAGCCGCCGGTGTTTCTGCTACAGCCGGGGCTGTTACGCTGGCATCAGCTTGACTGCTCTGTTCTACGGACGCTTGTGAGGGTGTTATGTCCGCAACGGCAGCGAAGGGCTGGGAAGTAGCGTCGGATGTCGGGAGAGCGTCAGGCGAAGGTGATGATGGGCGTGCCAAAGAGCCCGACTCACTGCCCTGGGCCTGCGCAATCCGCACCGAGCCGGAGGAAATGGTTGTGGTGGTAACTAAGAAGGGGCTCATCGTACTCGTTGAACTCTGCTCGGCCACTTCGGTGCCTGCATCTATGTCTGCGGCCGGCGCTGCTGCTAATCCCTTCGACGGGACCACGGCTATTGCTGTGGTTGAACTGCTGGTCGAACTGTTGGTCGACCTGCTGGTCAAACTGCTTGTCGTGGTCACCGCAGCGACGCTGCTCACACGCGTAGATACCGCCGCCACGCGGGGGACCGCCGTACACCGCCGCCCATTGAGGGTGGTCAGGAAAGCCCCCGATGGGAGCCCGCTCGATGCCATCTTCCAATTTTGATTCCTCTTCGATAGCCCTGATGCGCGAAGCCAGCCGCTCCGGACGAAGAAAATGGGGATGAACGGTACAAAAAAAAAGAGAACGAAAATAGGTTCAGTAGAAGCGAAGAAGGCCACTAGGGCCGTGTAATCATTGAGAAATCATCAAGATCTCTTGAAGAAGGAAAGAATAGAGGACTTCTCTCGAAGGAGACAAACAACGACCCAGCCCGGATCGGAACGAGAAACGTGGTAGTGGTAGACTAGCTACCCAACAAGAGGGGAAAAGGGACGAGGAGGAGAGTAGGAGATCCGGGATTAGAAACGTAACAGATGAGAGATGGGCACGCTGTCGCAAGGTGGCTTGGCGGTAACCATGCGCACAGATAGTTGCGTTCTCAGGATCAAGTGAGGCCATGATGGCACCTTGAACCGTTGAGTGCGACTCCGGTGCTTCGAGTCCTCGGCGGTGGCATGGCCGAACTGGGCGGACTCTGACGTGCGAGGACAGCATGGACGCTCGAAGTCGTTTGATGGGCCAAAGCAGGGGTCGGCAAGGACCATTATTGGTTAGGACTTCGAAAAAGGCGTGCCATCCGAGCCGATTACCACAGATATTCCCATCTGGACGGTTGCGGCTCTTCGTCAGGGGCTCCTGCAAGTCCTCGTGCGTGATGGGTTGATCCCTGTCCTGCGACGCTTCTGATGCAGAACAGGTGCGGGGGGGTTTTTATCCCTGATGGTTCCCGCAGTCACCCAAGACCGCATCCACCAAGCAATGATCTAGAATAGCTCGGCAACCCTGGGCGGAAATAGAGTCAAAGCTGTGCGCCTCATTGGGTTGTTTTTTGTCCACGAGATGAACTCTCGAGCGAATAAATATTTGAGGCGGTTGATATCATCCCATTAAAAGGTTATGTCATGTGATAGTGAGTGGGATTGGCCGTTGAGGCATTTGCTCCAGTTTATCGGTTCGGGGGGAAGTGGGGATAGATGATTCCACGTTTGAGCGATCGCCTGAAACAAGGCGCTGTCGGCTATAAAAAACGGTCCCAACATGATGCAGAAATACCTAGTTGACATTTGATCGAGGTTGAAAGTTCGTTGGGTTGGTTATTTTTGTTTCTCCCTACAAGGTTGCTGCCTGGCTGCCTGGGTGCTTGATTAAGTTCAGATAAAAGGAAACACAAAGCCTTGGGTCTGTTTGGCTTGCTCCTCCGGAAGCTGGACGAGTAGTTTGGCAACTCGCAGCTGTCGCCAATAGTGGGCCTAGAAGACAGAAGAGGGATGGAGTGTGTTCGTATTGGATGAATCTCCCCTACTTACTCGCACACATCAGGTAGCCTACAAGTAGGTACCTTACGTTGGTTCCCTTGTGATCCCCAGAGCACGAATTGCCAACAGTTAAATTTGCACACACCCGGGACCTCGGCCGGGTGCCGAACCACCTCCGGACCGGGCTTCAGGGGTCAACATGGAAGTGCACGGCCCAACCGTAACATCCATGCATGCAATGCCAGCGAACGTTGCCTGCCCCGCTCCGCTCGCAATCCGCTCGCGTGGTTCTTCCTGCTTCACGGCGACCGGTATACCCTCGTCGACGACATTAATTGTTGCTCTCTGACACGATTCTGCAGTGTTGGTCAGGCAGAAAGGCAGAGACAGACAGACCGACAGCCGTACATACACACCACAAGTTCACGGCGAAGTTCGACCCCGTGAGAACTCACCGCATATTCCGTCGTTGTCCCCGCCGTTTCAACTCCCAGTGAGCACGGCCGCTCCGGATCAAAGCATTGCACCAACGGCAACCGATTTGGGGACATTCAATACCTTCCTCTATCTCGTGGCTGTGTCTATCGGAAATCGGTCATAATGTTTGGAAATCTCTCGTTTATGAGTAAGTGGAACGTTCCTTCTTGTATCCAGCGGCAGCCCCGCGGGACTTCTCGATCATGTGGATCTAGTCCGACCCAAGTTCTGTGTTTCTCCCGCCTGCCTCAGTTTCACGGCCTCTACCACTCACGAAAAGCGTCGTACTCGTCATACTGCCCATTTTCACAAACCCCAGCCTCATTCTCCCTTTTAGTGTGCTACCTACTGCGGAATTCGGGCCCAAGACCTATCAATATCTGTATTACATTGGCTCTTGCTGGCTGGCTTCACGATGGCCCTTACCTCTGAGCAATGTGGTGCCGTTGGTCCCATTATGCGGCCTTGGATTTTGTTTTACCACGCTTCCCCTGTTGGTCATGTTTCGCCTGATCGTCCTCGGTGCCGGCAAAGCCGTGATTATCTATCCATTTTCGTCGAGTATCCGGTGTTCTAACCCGCTCGTCTAGTTCCTGCCTCAGGGCCGCCTAGGGGACCTCCCAAGGACGTCCCACCGGCGATGCCAATTAACCTACCCCAATGTTATCCACAAACCCCAGACAATGATGCTCTAGCTGGCCAAGAACAAGGCTCTAACAAGCCGAGAGAGCCACTCACCTCGGTGCTGCAAAAAATTGTCCGGCCGGCTGAGTTTAACGCCTCGCACTTTGAAGCTCTCGGGGTGCACGTGGTCCCAGAGGCTACTCCAGCCCAGCTACTCCCAGACCCTACGTTTATCCCAGACTTCGACGCCTGGCACGCCCTTTCCACTGAAGAGGTTCATGCGACCAACGAAAGCACTCGCAAACGGCTGAACACGGGCAACCTTTCGCCAGGCTGCCATACCTACCTGGAAAGAAAACGTGAGCTTTCGATTGCGAACGAGGCGGCGTACCGGACTATCCGGAGAATCCCGCCTCCCAAGGGACAGCCGCAAGCCCGCCTGGGAAACGCCTACGAATTTTATCGTCATCTGGAACTGTTTTCTGCGTTTTGGGAAGACACTTCGGTGCCACCAGCCCCGGAGAGCGAAACGGACCAGGTGGGAGATGGCAACGCCGAGAATGCGCCCGTTCCAACGGAGGGCAACAAGGCTCAGGAGAATGGTTCCGACGCCGTCAAGTTCTATCGCACCGGGACCGGCCATCAGATGCCGGTCGACTACCGCCAGAGCATGATCACGGCCTTCCTAAAACTGGTAGCGTACGACTTCACCTGCAATGTGTCGGCACCCCGTACCGAACCACGACTTCACATCACGTCAAAATCTTCCACCGGCTCGCCACGTAGCTCTTACTTCTCTTCTGGGTGCACCTTCATTTTCCGGACCCCAACCACTCGCGAAGCCGCCCGTGCAGGCATCACTGAAGGCCCGGTGGCGGCCGTGAGCGCTAGGCACACGACCTCTTTCCTACCAACGGATCCGGTTTCAGAGACAGACAAGGACTCGGTCCTTGACCTTGCCCGGGAAGTCGTCGCCGCTCTGATCACAGCCCAGCACCGCGCTCGCGAAGGCCGCACCGAGAAGCCCATTGGTGAGAACGCCTGGTGGTGTACCAAACCGCGCTGGGGCGGCGGCCCCGGCGGGCCCATCGGGCGCGAAGTGGAGATGCTCTCTGGAGCAGACCAGACCATCGGCGACAAAGACGCCCCGCCGTCGGAAAGTACGCCGCCGCCCTCCTCTTCCTCTCAAGGAAGCGATGCGACCACCCTCCCTCAGCGGCCTTCCCACCGCCCCGTTGGCGGGAGTATTCCCTTCCCTACGGGAAGTAACACCATCTCGGCCCTCGGCGGCGGCAGCAGCAGCAGCAGCAGTGGATCCTCAAAGGGGGCCAAGCGCCTCAAAAAATCAGGAAACCACCCAATGTACGACAACTACCGCATGGTGCGTCAGCCAAAGTCAACATGGGACAAGAAGACGCGGTACGAAGCTATCGGGCGGGCGCGGGGCGTCGACTACGACGACGTATTTGTTGTCAGCACGGTACTGCACCACGTTAGCATCGTGAGGATGCGCGTGCCGGATCGGCTGCTGGCGGTTCTGTCCGGAGAGGCCGAGGACAGCGGGGACAGGCGGAGCTGGGGCAGGCTTGAGGTGTGGCGGAGCCCGTGGTACGACTTCTTTAAGGTGGACGAGCGGGTGTGCGCGATGCAGTTGGTCTGGAGCATGATGGCGTGGATGATGCGGGAGCAGGTCAAGGATAGCGAGGGAGCATTACCAGAGAAGGAACATAGCCAAGGAGATGTGAAGATGACGGGGGCGTAATCCCCTCTGTTGCTGCTGACGGGACCATCTGGCTTGGGTGGGTTGCTCGCGGCTTGCTGACTCGGGGAAGTTGCTTGCTCGGGGGCCTCCCAGGTGCCCGGCTACCCTTAGTTACCGCACGCGAAGGTTCAGCTAGCACAGCTCACTTCCGTGGTGGTAATGAGGGACCATGAGAATAATCGATGCGACGGTTTGAAAAAACAACAGAAAAACAAGACTTGATCAATATACTGGCTGAAGCTCATCTTCAACCTTGCATCTTTTAAAACTCATGACTGGCTGATGGTACGATTCAGCAGCCCCGCTTCAAAAATCCCAAAGTCGTTAACCAATGGACAGGTGTCGCTGATTCCGGAGCTAACTGTTACCGGACTTATACAGACAGCCGTGATTCTCCGTGCCAGTGATCTTTTTGCCACAGCCGTTACCAGTCGGCGGCTGTGAACAAGGCTATGTCGATTGTGTTGTTTTGGAAGTACAAAGTACTCGGACCCGTTTATTGTTATTTGACGAGCCCTGGGTGGTTTGTGATGTCATCATCATTACAACCCGGGGAACAAACAACTGGACTCGGAAGAAAATGCCGAACCTCGGCTGCCAAGTTAACTATCTATGTACACTAAGTGAATTGGGGACGTTTCCGACGACAGAGCCACTTGAGAGCTTGTCAGCGCGCGACGTTTCAAGGCCAGCTCTGAGGTCGCTGTTTCGATAGTCGCGGCCGGTCAAACGGCGGCCGTGTTCGGCAACCTCGCCCCCAAGCAATTAGGCATTGGGGTCCGAGGTTGGAAAGGAAGGTAGTAGTAGCGTAGTAGTTCGTGCATGCTCAAGTGGCCAAATTCACGGGAGGGAAGCTGAGAATCTCAGCTGGATAGCCGCAAGTAACCTCATGTGAGCGCAGAACTCAACGAGATTAATATTGAGAGCATCTTGGTCAGGTGTCTTGGCGACGGGAAGAGCTGAAAAAACGGGACGATCGTGGTTTCTTGTTTCAGTTCGGGATCCGCAGGCCACATGGCTTGGCGCCCCTCCTCCCCACTGCTCCATGTCCAATCGTGATGGGCTGTGCTGGCAACCCCACCCCGACCCAGCGCCCGACAAGCTGCCCGCGATTTGCACCCCAAAGCCTGCAGCAACCCAGCTTCCAGCCCAGGCTCACGGCCTCACTCTCACCGAGCTGAAGATCTCTCGCCCGAGAACCGGGACCCCCTGCAGGTGCGTGAAACTGACTGACACCCTCTTCCCGGGCCTTCGGAAAACCCATTTTTGATCGGGACGCGCCCACGCATGCCCTTGTCGGCTCTTGACCGCCCCGTCGGGTTCCCGTCCGCTTTTTCTGCCATGTCTCAGTGTCCTGCCTCCTCCTGCAAGCCATCATCGACTGTTTATTTTTTTTACCTTCCTTGCATCTTGTGCTCTGCTCATCGGAACGGTCCGATAGATTTCCACTGTCTGAATCCAGCAGGCAAACGCCAATCTCGAATTCCGATCCCGATCCTGCCCTCCCGCCTAGCTCCACCCCCGATCTACGCCGCCGCCGCACGAGCTCCCATCACTCAACACCCTTTATAAACCCCGGCAACCCCGGCCCCGTCCGCGTTATCATTATTTACTTTTCCTGTGCCGCCCCCCCACTCCCGCCGCTCGACGCCACCGCTTGTCCAGTCCACGAGGCCACACCCGGCCGCTCGTCCGACCGACCGGCCTTCCCTCCCTGTTCCGAGACCGATCCTGCTGCCGACTATCCGTCTGGATATGTCTGGATTTCCTGGTGCGGGCTACAACGCCGGTGGATACGCCCCGCCGCCACAGCAACAATACGCCGGTTACTATCCGTATGTTCAGCCAGCACCGCGCGGCATATATACGTAAAAAAAAGATATATTTCGGGATTATAAGCTGATGTTTGCTGGTAAAGATCCCCAAACTATGGCTACCCACAGCCCGCTCCACCTCCCCAAGGGCCCGGATATGGCTACCAACAACCCGGCCCGGCCTACGGCGGGTACCAGCAGGTTCGTCTGACCCCAACTTCAAAAGTGAAACGCCGCAGACTAAATCCCCTACTAGCCACCGGCCCAGGGATATCATCCCCCGCCGCCGGCCCCTAATAACTTCGGGAGACCGAGTGAGCATGATCTTTCCTTGTCTGAACACCGTAGATGCTAACGACCACAGATATGCCAACGGTAAACTCGAACTCGTACGTCCACGGGAACCACAGCGCCCCGCCGCCGCCGCCGACGACTCAACAACACTATGGATACCAACAGCAGTTTGCGTTTCAATACTCGCAGTGTACGGGGCGCCGGAAAGCTCTGTTGATCGGTATCAACTACTTCAACCAGCGCGGCCAGCTCCGAGGGTGTATCAACGATGTGAGGAACATGTCGGCCTACCTCGTCGAGAACTTCGGCTACAAACGCGAGGACATGGTCATCCTCACCGACGACCAACAAAATCCCATGAGCCAGCCAACGAAGCAGAATATCCTGAGGGCCATGCACTGGCTCGTCAAGGATGCCCGGCCAAACGATTCGCTCTTTTTCCACTATTCCGGTAAGCGCCACAAGTTGATTCGGCGAAGCCCAGGCTCTAACTCGATTTTAGGTCACGGTGGGCAGACAAAAGACCTCGATGGCGACGAGGAGGACGGGTATGACGAAGTCATCTATCCCGTCGACTTCCGACAGTACGGGCACATCACCGACGATGAGATGCACCGCATCATGGTGCGGCCCCTCCAGGCGGGCGTGCGCCTCACAGCCATTTTCGACTCGTGTCATTCCGGCACAGCGCTCGACTTGCCCTACATCTACTCCACCCAGGGCATCCTTAAGGAGCCCAACCTTGCCAAGGAGGCCGGTCAGGGTCTACTCAGCGCCGTGTCCGCATACAGCCGCGGCGATCTTGGTGGCGTCGCCAACAACATCATGGGCTTCTTCAAGAAAGCGAGCAACAGCGAAGATGCCTATGCCAGGTCGATGGCTGTCAAGACTTCGCCCGCGGACGTGGTTATGTTCTCGGGGAGCAAAGACGACCAGACCTCGTTCGTACCCCCCTCTCCTCCTACCCACCACTCAGTTCTCTGCTAACGAGCCCCCCCCTTCCACAGAGCCGACGCGACCATCGCCTCCCAGGCCACCGGCGCCATGTCATGGGCCTTCATCACGGCCCTCAAGAAGAACCCGCAGCAGAGCTACGTGCAGCTGCTCAACAGCATCCGCGACGAGCTGCAGACGCGCTACACGCAAAAGCCCCAGCTCTCGTGCAGCCATCCCCTCGGTAGGTTTCTTCCCGCCTTGCATCCCACTGCATCTCTGTCCTGAGAGTACGTGGCTGACGCGGTTGGTGTCATGGATGGCTTTCATGGGCAAGCAGACACCAATGTCTTGTTTGTGATGTGATGTTGTAGGAACATACAATATATATGGGGATCCGATCATTATCGTTACCGTTACCGTTACCCGTCTGCTTCCGCTTTGCATTGACTCGGGAGTACGTTTCGATATTTGGGGAGGGGGAGAGGGGGGGGGTTGATTTCTTCTCCGGGTGGGCGAGGGATTGGTTTGGATGGGGTTGGATAGGGCTGGCTAGGACTGGGGGTATGAAATGGGATGATTATTACGGGTTCTGTCTTCGAGGTCGCCAGGTCACTCGCTTGTGCATTATGGGTCGGCGGGTGTGGGTGTGGGTAGGCAGTGTCTTGAAGTTCCTACGAAGTTATGGGTTCAAGTTTTTAATCGGTTTCAGCATGCTCGGGCGCCCCTCTTGGGGGGTATTGTGCTGGGCAGAAGGACGGGCTATGCGATGAGCTGGACGACGGTGAAAATGCATACGCTGGTTTTATCTTTTGTTTATTTCGTCAGTGCCTTTGTATCCCTGAGTTTCCCGGAGTGGTTGCACGCTTGGGTTGGGATAACTAAGATTGCTTCGATATCAATGCTCGCTCGGGCCCTCGACTCCCAAGTTAACAGTCTCTTTACTTATGCCAAGATCACACCAACCCCTGAATCCTCGGGCGGAAAGTAAGGGTAAATAAAGCAAATGAATTCAACAACTTTGATATCAATGACTGTGCTTCTGATGCTGCATGCAGACGGCCTTACCCCCGCCCTTTACCAACCTGGTTATGCCCAAGGTATCTCCATCTACCGCGCAACCCAACCGACCGTACCGAACTCCAACCCAGAATAGATAAAAAAGGATGCATACATCGTGACCCCATGCAAGACAGACAGCCAACATGCTCTGACCCCAACGCCAATTGCTGCCCGACACAAGCTTATCAGCCGTACTATGCCCTCTCTTTCCAACGGTACCCAAACAAAACAGAAACAAAACCACCTAGCCGTTCATCCAGAGTTCGAAAAGAAAGCACCACCAAGCCCCCACCATACGCCACCAGGTCGACGGGTAACGTAAACAGACAAATAAACAAACAAACACACCAACGACCGAGAAATCAGCACTCCATCCCGCCCCCTACCCTCCTCAGCGAAGCCAAAGCGGAAGCCGAAGAGGGCGACCCCGTCTTGCGCGCAACCTCGGCGCGCCACACTTCCCGCATGGCGCGGATCCGCTCCTCGCGCTGCATGCCGTCGTAGCAGTCGGCCAGCTTCTGGCGCATCTTGTCGTTCTTGGCCCAGGCGCGCGCGCCGACCTGCATGCGGACGACCCCCCGTACCGCGTTGAGGGCAAGGCGCAAGTTCGAGCGCGGGGTCCGCCTCTTCTTCGGCGGCTCGTTTTGCTGAGTAGGCTGCGATTGCGGTTGTTTTGTTTGTGGAGCTGGTTGGATTTGTTTTTGGCGGACGAGGGGGTAGTGGTCGCGCCCCGCGGAGGAGCCAGTTCGGGCTGAGGGCGGCTTGATCTCGGCGCGGATGCGGTTGATGATTGCGAGGTCGGCTTTGTTACTGTGAGAAACAGGATGGTTAGCAAACCGGGAGCGGTGGTAAGGGTTAGAATAAGAAGAACATACCAGGCATCGCGGACCTGGACTTGCATCAACAGGTATTGTTTCGCATAGGCCGCGTCGCTGCGCAGCTTGGCCTCACGATCCCAGCATGCCTTGAGCCATTCCATCTGCATCACCATACCGCGGATCTCCTTCTCGTGTCGTTTCTCGGCGGCTTCGGCAGCCCGAATGATAGCGTCAGTGTCCACGCCATTCTTGCCCGTTTTGGAAACTCGGACAAGAGCACGCTCCTCGTTGGCGGCGGCGGCCGCTGAAGCCGCTTCGGCAACAGCCTTGTCCTTCTCCTTCTTAAGCTTGTTGAAGTCCTTGTGCAACTTCTCAGCGCTAGCCCGGTACGCGGCCCTTTCGCTGCGAGCTCGCTCCAGTTTCTTACGGAGGGATGTCTCCACTCCCACGAGCTCCTCGAGCGCCTCCCCGGTGTTCGCGCAGCTCGCGGTCGAGTTTGTCGGCGGAGAGCTGTGACTCGCGTAGCATCTTGTGCAAGTCGCGGCGCTCCTCGAGCGGCATCTCACTAAGACTGCTGTTCATACTATTGTTCCGCTGGTCGCGCACAGCAGTGGCTAGCTCGTCCCGCTCCCGCTTGTATCTCTCGAGTTTTGCCTTGTATTTCTTCAACGTCTCCTCGTGTGCCACGGCGGACTCTTCAGCGGCCGTCTGTGCGTCCTCAAAAGCCTGCTCAAGCACGAACTTTTCGTCCTCGAGCTCATCGAGATGTTTCTGGAGCTCACGTGCCGACGCAGAGGCTTTGCGCTCGACATCGCGCAGAGACCGCTTCAAGTCATGCACAGATTGGTTGGCGGTGGAGAGTTGATGGCGCAGCTCGGATACCTCAGCCTTCTGCGCAGAACCCCCGTGGGACGACGGGGAAGTTGCAAACCGATCCAGGGCGGCCTCGTGCGCCTTGCGTTCCAGGTCCGCAATCTGCCGCTTGAGTCCCTTAATAGACTCCTTCTGAGAAGCGGCATGCTCCAGCTGATCCAGTTCCTTCTTCCTCGCGGCGGATAGCTCGCGATGGAGTTCGGAAAGCTCACTGTTCCCTTCGCCCCCTTGACCAGGGAACTGGGAGGCGGCCAGCTGCGTTTCGTAATCCTGAACGCGGCGCTCGAGCTCTCGGACAGTTCGGCGGAGGGCCGCAAGCTCGGTGCTATCCGAAGATTGCTGCACCATTCCTTGCAGATCGCGGATTTTGTCGCCAAGACGGTCCTCTTCGGCGGCGGCCTTCTCAATCTCTTTCTCCAGGGCTTCCTCAACCTCTCGCCGTCTCTCGACTAAAGCTTTGTTTTCATCCCGGAGTCGGCGAAGTTCACCCTCTAGCCTGGTCTTCGCCACGCGTAGGTCGATCCGCTCTTGGTCGTACTTGAAGGTATCCTCACCTTGCTCGTTGAGCCGGCCAATTTCTGCTTCAAGTTCATTGCGCTCGGCCTTGGTTTCTTCCAAAGAGGCGCGAATAGAGCGCAGTTCGGTCTCTAAGCTTGATGACCGGTCCTGCAACGCTCGGCGCTCTTCTGTGAGCTTGTGGACCTTCTCAGTAGCCTCGGAGAGCTGGGATCTGAGGCGAGCAACAGCCTCATTGGTCTGTTTAGCAGATTCCCGGGAGGCGGTCGACAATGCTTTGGCCGAATCTGTGGTAGCTTTGAGGGACGTGAGTTCCTGCCTCAGTCCGTCACACTCCTGCCGGGACTGGCCGAGCTCAAAACGGGCCTTCTCCGACTCCTCGTCGAGAGTGGCCTGCAAGATCTCAACCTCATCCTCGAGTGCCTCCACCTTCTCCCCCCGAGCCTCGCATTCAAGTCGGGATTGGCGGAGCTCATCTCTCACAGCGGACAACTCGCTACGGAGATCCTCCAACATGTCTTGCCTAGAGCTCAAGTCCTGCTGCAACTGGTCAATCTGGGTCTGCAGGATGGCCTCATCCTTCCTGTGCCTCTCTGCCTCACTCTGCAGGGCTTCTTGGAGCTTTGTTTCCTTGCTCGACAAGGCCCCTTCGGTGTCCCGCAGCTTGTCGATCGTACGTTGCAGACCAGCGGCACGTTCTTCGGCACGGTCCCGTTCAGCTTCCAGGTTGTGGCGCTCGGATTCCCATTTTTCGCTGTCGTTATCGTAGAGGTTATCCCTCTCGCGGCACTCTGCTTGGAGGTCGGAAATTTCGTCGTTGAGTCTCTCGATTTCGGTGCGGAACTGGTTCCGGATGTCCTGTTCTATGCCTAACGCGTGCTGGCGTTCTTGTTCCAGGCTGTCCTCGGCCTCGGCAATAGACTGCTTGAGTTTGGTCACCTCCCGTTGCAAAGAGGTAGATTCGCTGGTCAGGGCGTCGTGCCGAGTCTGGAGGAGTGCCTTCTCATCGTTTCGCATGTTGAGGTCGGCTTGTGCTTGCGCTAGTTTGGATTCTAGCGTTAAGCGGATATGCTCGGCCGAGTCGCGCTCCAGCCTGGCCTCCTTGAGCTGATGTCTAGCATCCTCCAACTCTTTCCGCCAAGATCCATGTTCCTCGTCCACCCTGGCTTCTAGAGATAGACGAATGCGTTCTGAAGAATCGCGCTCCTCACGGGCTTCTTTGAGCTTGGCCCTCATGCCGTCTATTTCCTTTTGTTGGGCCGAGCGTTCCTCCTCAAGAGATGCACAGTCCTGGCGAGCCCTATCGGCTTCAGACTGCAGACGTGCAATCTTTTCTTCGACTTGGCGAGAGAGGCCCTTGGTGACGACAGACTTGTTAGCCATCTCCTCCTGTAGCTCCTCTAGATCTGCCTCAGCACGATCTTTTTCTGAGGTTGCCTCCTGAAGCTTCTCCCTCATGTCTTCAACCTGCTGCTCAAAACGCCGCACGTTGGCTTCCAGATCCTCAATTGTGTCCCTGGCCTCGCGGAGACGGTCACCGTCCTGGGCCTTCTCCTCGAGCTCTACCATCCGTCGCTGCGTCTTTTTGAGTTGCTCCTCGGCATCGTCGACCTTTTCCCTCAGCTCGTCTATTTCGTCTTCATGTTGTGTAATGACGTCGTCTTTTCGCCGGAGGTCCGCCTCCAAGTCGCCGATCTCGTCCTGAAGCTTCTCCACCTTGTCCTGCCCATCGTCTTGGTTGTCAAGTTGCCGGTGCAGGTCGTCGATTTCAGCATCCTTCTCCTCAAGTTGTTGTCGCAGCCGTTCAAGCTCAACTCGTTGGTTCTCGTCGGCGTACTTTCGCTTAGCCTTCTCCTGCACCTCAAGAATCTGTTGTCGGTAGCTCTCGAGGTCTTTTTCGGCCGAGGTAAGATGCTTCTTGTACCTCTGGAGTTCGCGCTGCATGGTCACCTTGTCTACCTTCAACTCGGTGTTCTCCTTAAGCGCAGCCTCGCTGAACCCGGGGCCGGCTTTTCGCAGCGCTTCCTCCAGAAAGTGAATCTTGAGCTTCAAGCCAAAGTTCTCCTTTTCGATCTTGTCGATGACGTTCTCTTGTTCGCGTAATGAGAGCTGATTCCCGTCTTCCAAGGGGCCTTTGCCGTTCTCGCGCCTCCTCATCACCAGGGGGGTAGATGCGGCACTACTGCTGTCTACCTCGGGCAGTGGTGTGCCACCTATGAAGGACGATGTGTTGTGTGAGGCTCCGTACATGCTGGTCTCGCCTGCGGGCATGGGTGTCATGGATTCGTCGATCTTGGCGAGGAAGCCGGGGGTTGCTCGGCCCGGGTTTTCCTTGCCAACGCCATGGCGGCGTACGCTATTTCTAGTTGCAGATTTGAGCAGTGGTGTAAACTCGGGCCCCCCCAAACCAGCAGGAAGGTTTCGGCGGTCATTGAAGGGAGCGCGATTCCCGCGTGGGGTCTTGATGCTTGGTCGGCCGCCGTTGCGGAGCTGCTGGAGGAGATTCGCGTCTTTTGAGGGCGACTGAAAGGATAACTCTTGTGAAATGTCAAAATCGGGCTGGCGACCAAGAAATGTCGCGTCGCCCACGTTGGTGCGCGGCGTGTCAAGGCCGTCAAAGTCTGGTTGCACCATCGCAACTCAAGCTGTCGCAAGGCGAAAGAGAATAAACACGTGAGGAATGGCGTCTCAGGGCAGCAATATTTCGTCGTGGGCTTAGTCTAACAAATTGAGGGAATTGCCCTATTCATGGGTGGGTGTAGGTAAAGATTGATCGGTATCCGGTATGGATTGGTGGGGGAAGTCGCGTCCAGACGGAAAGAGCACCATTCTTAATCACCCTCGCAAGGGTTTGTTTACTTTGGCGTTATACGCCAATCACAGGCGGGTACCCTTGTTGTAGGGTCTTGGCACCACGTCAAGAACTTAAAAAGTCAATATCGAGGGTTGGGGTCGTGTGCACCAAGCCGCCCCACATACCGAAGAGTGTGGGGCATTCAGATCCAGAAAGGGTTCAACTTACACACTCCCCTGACGCTCTCTTGCCATTAAATTATGAGAGAACTACAGTGTGTCATGGTACCAAGGATTGGATCTCCTATCCCGTGTATAACTCAGAACCAAGTTTGAGCTCAAGAAAAGACACATTTTCTTTTTGCGGTCTCTACTTCCAACCGCTGGTTGCAACAAACCGTGAGTATCAACACTGGCCGCAATCCTCAACTCGCCACTCACTCGACCCGGTTATCATCAGGTGGTCATCTCAGGACGCTCGCTATCTAAAAGCCAACAATATACCACCACCTTTGAAGTTTCAATAAGACTGAGCCATCATCTATATTGGCTTATAGCGCGCACTTCAGTAGTTCAAGATGGCCCATCTGCCTCCCAACGCAGCAATCTTCTCGCCTTCAGTCGCCCGCGCGGCTGCTTCAGCCGCCAAAGACTGGTCTTATGTTGACGGCTGGCTACAACGCAAATTTCCCGGCGTTGGCCCTCCCACGTTTGAGCGCAATGCCGACACATTACGCGTTCTGCTCGCCCTCGCCGCTGCCAACGAAGCAGCCGACGAGGAACGCACCCTGGTCGCCCGTCTCGAGGCCGAGACTCTCACCCAACTCCGTGCCCGCGAGCAACCTCAAAGTCAAGCGGGGGGCGAAAGCACCAACACCGACAACAACACCCTCGACTCAGCCCGCGAAGCAATCCTCACCGCCCTCGAAACCTCGCTCCCTCGGGAAGGCCAAACCGCCCTCACCGCTCTCGCCGCCCTGGCGTTGCAGACCAACACCCCCCTCCCCACACCCGCCGCCCTCGGCACCGAACTCATCACCCTCTCCTCCACCACCGCCACCCTAGAGCAAACCACCGCCCGCATCCACACCCTCACAACCCACCTCGCGCGCGAAGCCGCTGCAACAGCCCAGCTCGCCGCCGAGCTCCGCCCCCCATCACCCCCACATCACCCCCACCCCCACGACAACGTCGTTGACGACGACGACGACGACGACGAAAACAACAACACCACCAACAACCCATCACCACACCAAGCCACCTCCCACAAGCCCCCCTTAACAGGCTACCACCCCCCCGCCGACCTCGCCCTACAGAACCTAACCCTCCAGCGCCAAATCAAAGCTCTCTCAACGCGCATCCCCGAGCTCCGCGACAAGGCCGCCGCCATCGCACGATCCACCGGCACCGGCACCACCACCACCGGAACCACGACCACCACCACGAGCATAGCCGACGTGCGGCGCGAAGAGGAGGCGTACACGGCGCTGCTGGCCGCGAAGCGGGAGCTGGACGGGCAGGTGCGGGCGTTTGCGGGGCTGCCGCCCGACGCGGAGCGGGCGCGGCAGGAGCTGGAGGGCCTGCGGGGCGAGCTGCGGCGCATGACGCTGCGGCGGGATGAGGTGTTTGAGGGGTTGGTGGAGAGGGAGACGCCGCGGAAGAGGGAGAGGGGGGCAAGTGTGAGGAAGTAGGGGGAGAAAGTAGAAGTAGAAGAGGGGGTGGGGGGGGGTTGTGATTTGTGGCTTTTTTGGTGTTAGTGGTAGTGGCGGCGACGGTGGTGGTAACTAATGGTGGGAGAGTTGCCAGCAGTAATCAGTTCCTCTGTATTCTGGCCTGGTCTGGTCTAGATAGAAGAGGTGGAAAAACTATGCGCCCTTACTACCCTAACTCCCCTCCCCCGGCTAACCATCCTGTCTGCCCGTTCCGTCTCACTTCCCGAAGGGGTATTGTTGTCGCACTCTAGTAGTACGCCGCCGATACGCGTCCGATGCTGATCGTGAGTTTCTAGAGTTAGAAAGAAATGCTGTCAGAGAGCTAGATGAAACCACAAAAACAGAGCGAATCAACGCCAAATGCTCGCATAACCACAGCAACAAGAGCAAAAGCCAAAACGACGATGAAAGCCAGACAGGGTAAACTAGGCGCGCTTGCCTCGCCCAGACACAGCCCCTCCCAGTCGTCCAAACTGCCTCCCCAGCCCCGACCTGGGCTTCGGTGTTGGCTCGGGTTTCGCAGGCTGCGTTTCCTTGACAGCAGGCACCGAATTCCTCGTCCCCCGTCCCGGTCCACCGCCACCGACATCGCCCCCCTGACCCCTTTGGTCCGTCATGCCATCCCTGATCCGCAAGTCTCCGCCGGAGGGGTCATCCAAATCTCCTCCGCCACCCATGTGATGCAGTCTGCGAGCGCGCTCCTGCACAGCGCGGAACTTCTCGAGGAGTTCGCCCCAACGGATGATTCCTTCTTCTCGGCCCTTGAGGCGGTTGGGACGGTCGAAGGTGGGGGCGTTGGGTGTTGTTGCGTTTCTGTTCGGTGTTAGTGTTAGTGGCCTATCATGCGTCGCTTGAAGACCCAAGGGCTATTGGGGAAGGGACGCTTGACGTAGATCACTAGGAAAGACGTCGAGGGTGGGCCACTCACGGTCGAGGGGCGATGTGTAGATACCCAATTGAGCTCACGCTGTTGAGCCGGTTCTTGAGAGCGGCAAAGGCCGATGATTGCGGCAGGAGCATCAAGAGGCCGTATAGACACTTGTATAAGTGCGGGTATCGCTCGGGCTCGAGTAGTTGGAGTCGCAGATCTGACGCATGTCAGCCAACAAGAGATGCACACCGAGACAGGGAAGCACTCTTACATGTGAAAACAGGCGACTCAAGGAGCTGCACAAGCTTGTCGATCTGGATCAGAATGTTGACAGTCATTTCCAATTCCGCACTAGGAAAATGTCAGTGAGCCAAGTCCAGCTACGATGGGCGAGGCAAACCAACAATATTTGCAGCAAGTTGTAAGCCTGCTCGTACGCCTGTGCCAACAAGCAAAGAGAGAAGGTGGCGACGGCATTGTAGCACCACGAACGGAACAGGGCAACGAAGAAAGTTTGCCCGTCCTACACCTAATATTTAGCTCACCGATTATGCGATCACCTAACAGCGAGAGACTGACCTTGGTCTCGAGGTTACGCAGACGTTTCCTCAACTCGGCGAGTTCCGGTGCAGTGATTAGGTTGTTGTTGAGATTCTGAACCATAATGCTGGCAAACTCGACATCTTCCTCCTTCTCGATGCAGTCGGCTAGCGTCCGGTAGATGCGTTCTGCGCTGAGGCTCGTACAGAGCTGGCGGATAATAAGGTTCCCGCGCGTCTCGAGGAGCTTCCGGTCTGTCGAGAATAGTTGGAGGAGGCTGACCATGAAATTTGTGAAGTAGTCATCTTCGCTATTTCTCGAAATCTGCGACAGCAACTGCAGGTCTTTTGTAACGACTGCCTCGGCGGGGTCTGAGAGAGTCTTGAGTAGCGCCGGGAATGTCCCGTCATTAAACGCGAGAACTTTCCTCGGCGCCTTGCGATGAAGCATAATTAGCCACGTCAATGCGGCAACCCGAGTGGCCTCGTGATCATTGAGGAATAAAAGAGTTAGCGAGTTGACCGCGGCAGCGTAATCGAGGTCCGGCTGTGGCTGAGGCACAGGAAGGCTTGGGGTTGGAGTCCGCGGCGAGGCCTTCACCTGAGCTGGCGTGGGACTCCGAACTTCAATATCCCTAGAGCCGGAGAGTGAAGCGCGAGCACTCGTGGTCCCGTCCTGCCGTTCGCCCACTGGCGGTGGAGGACCGGGTATCCGTGATAGCAGGGGCATCGCCACCTCCGCCTCGTCGGATAAAGATACGACATAATTCAGGAGCGACGTGTTCACCCTCCCTGCGGCCTGACGGATTGGTTCAACGCCGCTCGCCATGGCGGGTAGAAGGTGGGCTAGTATTTTTGGTGTGGAGGGAAGCACTTCCTCGGGACATATATCAAGAAATTCCACGATCCAACGTAATGACTCCAATAAGCCATCTTCCTCTGTAGTATGTATCAGCGGTGCCGTCTAGAGATGGCGCGAGGGATGCGTTACTTACCCAATGGTGAATCAAGGGTGGCCGTCAATATCTCCAAAATGGCCTTGTAGTTGATCTGGACATCCTGGCCGGGGACCCAGTCGTCTTCACTGTCGATATCGTCATCGTCGGCAGCCGTCTCGGAATCCAGCTCATCTCCCTCTTCGAGCTGTGGCCGTACGCTGCCGCTCTCTACCGAATCAACCCGCTTCCGCTTCCCCTCCTTTGACCTCTTACTCTCAGCGATGCCTTTCTTGATTCGGGCAATGCGCTTGATCTCGTTGAGGAACTTGTCCAAACAACCCTGAGTCGCGACATGAACGTCTCGGTTCGAGTCGCTCAAAAAGCGTAGCAGGCCGCCAAGAAAATCTGGGAGGTAAGTGACGAGCTCCAGGTCCGGGATAGAGTCGAGGAGGATGATCCAGCCAACTAGAAATGTCCTCGTGAAGGGGTTGAGGGCGTAGATGCGATCCCTGAGAAGAGGGATGAAGCGTTTCAAGGAGAATGCTCTCGGGAGCTCGACTGAATCGTCAGGTGCATCTTTATCGTCTTCTTGATAAGGGGGTGGCTGCTCCAAGGAAGAGACAAACGTGGCGGCAGATTCTGAAACGATGTCCTTGATAAGACGGTCGAGCAACTCGGCCCCATTCTTGACAGATAGCTCCGAGTCGGCGCCCAGCTGAGTCCCAGAGCGCGCTGGTGAGATTTGGAGTTGGCAAGGCTGGGGATGGGAGACTCACCTTGCAGAGGGCGTCGAAAATGTGGTTGAAGTAAATCAAAATCTCGCCCTTTGCCACTTTGGCAATGTTGTACATCGCCTCACAGGCGTAGTACCGAACACGGGCATCCTGATCCGTGATGCAGGCGAGCACCGGGGGTACAATAACTTCAAGATACCTAGCGAGCTCCTACCAGAAAATAAGCAACGGATGTGACACCCGGGAAAAGGGACTTCACGAAAGACATGGACGTACCGAGCCGAGAGCAATGGCAGCGGCAGCCAGTCCTATCAGTCCTCCGTTCCGTGCATGAGGCTGGTGGACGGCATAGGCGAAGTCGTTGCAGAGCTGGTCGAGAACCGCCTCGACCCTGGAATAGTCCTTTTGGGCGACAAGGTCGCGTATGAGCCGCTCTAGCCTAGCCCGGGGGTGCTCTAGTTAGTAAGAGAACGATCGAAAGAGGAGGGGGAATACCCACTCAAGCGCGCCAACCTTGCGCTTGTCATAAAGTTTATCGTTGAGCGCACGTTGGACGGCAGGATCCATGACTCTGATCCGTTAGGTGGAGCCCTGGGGCTTAGAACATGCTGCCAGAGATGAATATCAAAGAAGAGTCTCGATGAGGCGATAAGGCGATGATTCGATGATGCAGTACGCCGTGCTGACCGAGTTGACCGAGTGTAGGGTGGAAAGGGGGGTTACAACCGGCTTGCTTCTAGCGGCCCGATGTGGGGCTGTCAGGTAGGCACCGCCTGGTTGGGAGTCGGTGTCTCAATGGCAAGCAGACGTAGATTTTCCGGTGGTAGATAGGAGCTCGCCTACAACTACCTAGATAGACGGCGGAGGTCGGACGGTGGAAGCGCGGCTCGGGACGGTGACGGAGGTGGATGCAGGTCGAGATGCGGGTGGATAGGTCGGTAGCTCAGCTCGGAGCTTCCAGGCGCACCAGGTAACGGCCGTTGTGGGGTACAGTGAACGGCATGGTACGGTGGGGCTGTTACCTTACCATGGAAGGAAAGTGGGGGTTCTTCCTCTCTCCCTTTCAGGTATGATTTGAGCGCCGACCTTAGGTCCGGCCTCCACTTTTCACAACCAACAGATTACCTACCTCCGCCGTGCCGTCATCAAGCTCCATCGAAAGGAAGCACTCCAACAACAACAGTAAGGCCTAAACCCCCGCATCGACATCTGCCCACGTGCGTTGCAACGGCCGATGATTTTCAACCGATGCATATCTCTGCCGTGTGACTGGGAAACCCACGGCGAATACGAATCGAGGTCCGGGGAACTGCAATCTCGGCCATTCCCTTTAGGGACGACGGCGGTCATAGTCTCGTCGAGAGTACAAGGTAATCGGTACAAGTCCGTTCATGGGAAACGACGGGTGTGATCCCGCAAAACACGAACTTTGTGCATGGCCGACATCCATCGGATCGGGAACGCACTGCAAATACATGGTATGCCATTCCAGATGCCAGATCGCCATCTTGCGTCACACTGCAGCATGCTTAAAACAATCCATGTTTGTCTAAATATTAAGGTTCGGTCCTGGGGCTTATTCGTGATCCTGATCGCTACTTTGTCCCCTGGTGCACTGCCTTACGTCCGGAACTCAAGAGCAGTTTGCCAGGACCAATGGACAGAAAGGGTCTGGCGAATAATAACTAGCGGTCGGCCTACACTCCGACGAAGCTGATACAGCTACGAAGCATGCATGGGAAAACGATGCGGCTTTATTTGATCCTCGTCGGAGTTTTGCGGGTGAAATATACAAGCATTACTACCCATGCCTCGGCTTGAAGCGCCTTCTCGAGGGCTAACTAATTTAGCTAACTAGGTATCTGGGGTAAACTTTACACAGAACCCCCAACCCCTTACACAGCTAACATGTATTGCTTACCGTGCAGGACACACCGGCCTGCAAGCCTCCTTGCCTGTGACGGCTGTGATCCCTGTCCTGCTGAGCGGGAGAAACCAGCACCTCCATGGCTTGTATGCCAATCAGCGTCAGTTCCATGTTTGCCAGCATGGATGAGCCGGTACTCGTCACGATTCTCGCGAGTTTCGCCATCTGGCTCCTGCAATAAGCCCAGGCAATCTTGCTTATTGGGTTGATCCAAGGCCTCAGCCTGGCTTTTCGTTTACTGGACTGGGTCTTGTGAAAGAAACACCTGCCACGCCAGCCAGGTTCCCCAACGTTGAGGCGTGGGGGAAGTGAAGGGGGAGGGCGCCTGAGGCTTTTGATATCTGCCGTAGTGAACTTTGGAGCCCAAACGCGAGGTCCTCCTGACCATGACCGAAGCGCTCGGGAAGCTGAACAGGAGATCATGCGGCTTATTAGGCCGGCCGTGGGTGGGAAGAAGGGGGTGTGGTAGGAGAGATAGAACCGCTTGCTTAACAGTGTAAAAAACAGATCAGATAACCATTCCCCTGTTACTCCCACGCCCAACAGGCCACAGATCGGCTGTTTCCATTTTGACACTTCCATTTCGACCCGAAGTTTAATGACTGAAGTAGAAAAACAAATAACCGCAAGATCACCAATGCAGGAAAATACACATATGCTAGCCCAAAGCCCAAAGCCCACACACCAACCAACATTGATGCCCGTCACCCTTCGACTCCGTGACCCAGCGGCCCTCTTTCCTCATACCCAGCCCCACGCTCTCGCACACACCATGAAATATCTCCTTCGCCACGTGTGAGTGTCTCACTCACACCTCACTTCTTCTCCCCGCCGCTCTCACGATCGGATTTGCTGCCGACACTGCTGCTCTTGGACGAAGAGCCATGCTGGTCTTGGCCATCATTGCGCCGGGCCGCGTCTGCCGCCCGCTTGGAGAAGCCATCCTACAGGAGAGCACAGTGTGAGTCAAGAAGTCCATGGCGATGACGAGGGAGGTGTGTGCTGCGTGGTAAAAGAAAATGTGCACACCTTGTCCCCGCGAGCCCGGCGGATCCGCTCGGCTGCGGCATCGTCCATCTTGCTCTTGCCCATGTTGGGTATGAGTATTCGCGAGCTTGGATTCGTACAAAAGAGTTTGTGATAAGAGGTGCCGGTGCGTTCAATGTACGGCGGCAATGCTGATGTGCTCGGTGTGGACTTTCTTGCGTTCTGTATGGACCTGAGTGAGCAAAATGACCAAGACACGTTTGCGAGTCCGTCGAGGGTGAGGGCGACTATATACATGTCCCACAACTACCCAAAGCGTCCTCCTTCGCAGGCCGTTGCAAACGGCTATCGCGGGCATGGCCCAGTAGCAGCTTCAATACTCTCAGGAGCCCAACCGAACACCACACCATACCTTCCCGCGTCAAGGCGGACGGAGTGGGATAACGCCTTCGACAATGTTCACGGGATGCGGATGCGGGAGACCGCCGTCGCTGCACAACACCGACCACGCACGGCTGCTAGCATCCAATTCACGAGCAGACGGGTGGAAATCCGCCCACCATCCGCCCCCCCCCCCTTCTTCTTCGACTCTGCGGACGGCCGGCCGTTCGTTCCTGAGTCCATGTGAGTGACGGTGGCATTCGATTTGTGCGCCGTCGTTCGAAGGTAGGGACAGGGATCTCGGCTGGAATTCCCGATGCAAACCCCCACTGCATGTGAGAAGTGACGACAGCCAGCCCGTCCATCGACAGTCAGTCAGCTCGTCAGGGTCTGGCTGTTGTGAAAATCGATGCTCCCACCACACGTGTACCAGCCGACGAGTGAACCAGCACACCGAGGCATGTACATAGAACACATCCTAGCCTTCTTCGCCAGCCACACGCCAACTCAGAGGACAGGGCTGCCAGCTGGGAAAAACAAGGCTGTCCATCAGCCATGCGTTTGCGTTTGTCGATCACTCGACCGACGGGGGGACCACCACGCAGAGATAGACCCGGGACGACCTCAAGGTGTCCGCGTCGAGACTTTTCCTATGACGTATCTTTTCACCTCGGTAAAAGGGGCCCCCGGCATGCTGACAAACAGCCATTAGGCGCGTCTGTAGTTGGCCGTGTTTCCGGCCCAAGGGGCGCAAACACAGAACGGCGTCGTACATACATAGCGTGCCATCAGGTCGACACATGGTGAAGCTAAGGCACTTGCGCGCATGGCCGGGCCACCATCGTCAATCCCATCATCTCGATGATGTCCGAGAATGGGGGGAAGCTGGATCGGGACACATTCATCCAGGCCCTCATCCCTCCCCACACTTTAGCCCCCATCCCCCAAGCGAAACAAACCAGTTTCACACTCACCCTTCTCCTCACCTCACTCTCTCCCCCAAACAAACAGAGAGCGAGCAAGTCGAAAACCGAGGCAACGGTTAGGGCAGCCACGGCGTTTGCAGACCTGTGGCCCCCCGGGCCACCCGTCTGTCGTACCGCATGGCACACACACACAACATGGGGGCGATGGATGATCCAGGGTCCCGGCTCCTGCAGGTTCCCGGCCAAACAGCGTCATACGGTCGAGGTGCACGCGGGTCCGGGTGCCTTACCCGTCGGCTGCGTGCGTTCAAACCAGCCCATCCTCGGGCGGATGCAAGCAAGCTTCTGGCTGGCTTGACTCAACTTCCCGCGGCGGAAACGATCGTGTCTCAAATTAAAGTGCGTAGCTCCGTTCGAACCACGCAGAAGCCCCCAACGAAGCGTAAAGCCGCGGACAGGACGGGCCAGGCCGGCTACCTAGGTGCCCAACAAAACAAGCAATTACCGCATGTACATGTAGATACATACATTACATACAAACCAAAACACAATCCAGGACCGGTCTAGGGAGTATCTCCGCTCACAACAGCATAGGTAAGCAATCCGCGTCAAATAAACACGCGCAACATCAGCCACGCGCCCTCTCCCCCCCACAACATCGCCAAGAAACCTAGTGATGGTGGTGATGCTCACGGCCCGGCTCGCTCGCCGCCATCACGCTCTGGCACTTTGCCAAAATGGCAGCCTGCCTCGCAACATCCGCCAGGCGGCCAATGACCTGCTTGTTCCCGTCGACAAAGCCATACAGGGCGTAGGGGATGCCGACGTCGTCGCAAAACTCCTGCACCAGGCGCTGGGTCTTGCGCAGGTTGTGCCGGGGGATGCGCGGGAACAGGTGGTGGATGGCCTGGAACTGCACGCCGCCGTGGAAGAAGTCGAGCCACGGCGGGCAGTCGACGTCCATGGTGGTGCGCAGCATCTTCTGCGGGAACGACTCCTCGACGCCTAGGTCTGCCGTGCTCATGGCGAAGTGTGATAGCGTGATCTGCACGTGCACCGGCGTCGTCACAAAGTGGCTGACTATGACGTACAGGATCTGGTTCCAGTTGGTGTCGATGCTCCGGTACAGGACGCCGTAC